ATTATATGCAATTCCCCTAATCCCATATTGCTCCAGTTTCTCTAACAATTTTTTATGGCATACCGTGTCAAGCTTTCCCAATATTAATAATAAAAAAGATTTTCATATGCCGCCAATTTACGTAGACAGTTGGTGGCATAGCTTTTTTATTACTAATTTTAGGAAAAAAAGTTGTTCTTTATAAAAAGTCGAGCATGGTCTAAAACCTAAAATACAACCATCAAATATCAAATTTTATCAGTCGTATAAAGAATAAAGTTACTTTACTCTTGAGTAACTCATATTTTTTGACAAACCTCGTATACTACTGAAAAAATTTGATATTTGATGACTGTATTCTAGGTTTTAGATAATGCAGAACTTTTTATGAAAAATAACTTTTTTTCCTAAAATTAATAATAAAAGTTTTCCATATGATTCCAACCTAGGGGAACATACTGTATATGATCATATTTCCTACCTTTTTTCTTCATATTTGCCTCACCTTATTCATAAGGGAGGGACTTAGGGAGAGTATTATGATTATTATTATTATCATTATTATTATTATTATAATAAAGTTTTTATAAATATCTAAGAATGTAGTAGGCAGAAAAACATGTTTGCTGAATAATTAAAAGAATAATTTTCAGTTTTCATTCATTGCAATCACTCCTTTATTTGGCTTAACTTTATTAAATAAGCAGGTAAAAATTCCAGATTCAAATAAATTCTTATGAATAGGGTAGGTACCTGGTGTTATTTAGTAGGTCCCCAGGTAAAGGCAAAATATACCTACCCTGGAATATTGAAAAGGTACCTACCTAAATAATTCGTAAACAAAATTATTTAGAAACCAAATAATGCAGATAATAATTTTAATAGAAACTCAAAAAAACGTGCTTGATTTGCAAGAAATAATTTGTCGGTTACCTACATTTTTTACGTAACTGCGTAAATATTTTAGCAAAAAATAATACCCATTATTATTAACAAATAAATAATCTGCGGTTAAGCAAAAATGCGGATACAAATCACAATTATTTTTCAAGAAAATGAACATTTATTGATATTTACTTAGCGCTACGTGTGGAACACCATGCTTTGTTACAATTTACAAACCAATTATTATTGACAAGTTAAAATATTGCTTGCAAAACGTACGAAACAAAACAAACTACAAATACAACAAGTTCTTATCTCGAATCACAAAAGCGGAAGCGCATTTACAAAATATATCGAATTTCATTCATATGGTTTCGATTTACCTACACATCATTAACGTGTGCCATCATTGTGAAACGCAATACTTGAATTAAAATTATTTATTAAGAAACTTGAAGATATTTAATACTTACTCGTTAACAAATTGTTCCAAAATCCGACTTTAGGACATAGACTCGCACTGTTATAAACACAAACGAACAAAAAAGCGCAAGTTTACATGAGAAATGTGGTCGGAGACTTGAGTTGCCATATTATTAAACAACACTCCGTAATTGACATGCGCCAATCCGCCAAATCGAGATTTATCCAACTGATTTTTGTTAATTTTTCTTTTGCTGTTATTGGAGATTTCCTTCGTAATGAAGATTCTGCTTAATCTAGTTACTCAAAGTTGGCACTAGTTAAACATAAGAAGTATATAAGATTAACGTAAGATGGTGATGTAATTATAAATGTAATGAATCGCCATTTTTAGTCCAGTTTTAAAAATTGTAGAATAAAACGAAAGATTTTTGTATTTAAAGTGTATAGAAGGGGAAATTATGACATTATTATTATAAATATAGATCTCTTTATTTATTCTACACGCAAAAATATTTCATTTTCTTCTTCTACCCAGCAATGTGTAGATATATCGTTGTATGAAGATATAGTAGGATAACGCTCTAGATACAACCATTATACCCACCATCTTGAAGAATTTATTATTCATATTTGAAAACTATACGAGAACTGCATAGTAGACCACTAATGTAATATTTAATAATTGTAAACAATATTTTAGATAACAAATGTGTAAGATATATCAATATATTTATAATTTTGAAACAGTTGCGCCATCTATTCGTATTATTAAAAAGTTTGTTTGGTTTGAAAATATATTCAAATAGGAAACTGTAAAATTATCGCGTTAATAGAAATATGTACACATAGGCAGCACTTGATGTACGAAATCCAGGATTAAAATACAGAATGTCCCTAAAACGGCTTTGATGTGATACATTTCTATAAATAAAATTAACGTCAAATTGTCAGGAATTTATATGTAAAATCGACAAAATGAAAGGGTAAAATTTAATAAAAATAAATTAAAAATCCGTCTTAAAATTAATTTTTTTCTGAAAGAAACGAAGTATTGAAATAAGATTATTGCCAAATTGTTAGTAAATGTAGAATATTATCTTAGACAAATTGACAGAAGTACTAAGAAAAGGATTAGAGGAGTAAACATTAATAAAAAGGATTTAAAAATTAATTTTGCTACAAGGGAAATAATATTAGTATCAAGTTGTAAAAAAACTTGAAATTCATCTTAAGAAAATCGACACAGTGGTTGGAAGGGGGATTAAAGGGTAAAACTTAATAAAAATAAATTAAAAATTTGTTTTAAAATTTATTTTGAAAGAAACGAAGTATTGAAAAAAAATTAATGCCAAATTGTTAAAAATATAGAATACTTCTTGGGGAAATTGACAAAAGTACTTAAAAAGAAGTTAAATGGATTAAATATTTAATAAATGTTAATTCAAAAATTAATTTAGATATGAACAAAAAGGAGCATTGAATTTTAAATACATTTTAAAATAAATTTTTCTCTGAAAGTGAGAGAGACAGAATATTGAAATAAAATAAAATAAAATAAAGGATGATAAGGGGTGAAATTTAATAAAAAAAATCATTAAAAACTTATTAAAGAATCATTAAAAATCCATTTGAAATCTATTAAAAATCTATTGAAAATCCATTGAAAATCCGTTGAAAGTCCGTTAAAATGTTGAACTTCCGTTGAAAATCCATTGAAAATCCATTGAAAATCCATTGAAAATCCATTGAAAATCCATTGAAAATCCATTGAAATCCATTGAAAATCCATTGAAAATCCATTGAAAATCCATTGAAAATCCATTGAAAATCCATTGAAAATCCATTGAAAATCCATTGAAAATCCATCCATCCATGATATTTTGTTGTTTTTTTAGGTAGGGGAGAGTGGGGGAATCCCAGTCGGGTAAGTAATTCCGGTCACTAGTAATTTTCCGCTATAAACGTAGTCGCCCCGTTAACTATGTGGCGCCATCTATTATACAGTGGCTCCAGTCTAAGACATCTGTTGTTGTGGTTAAGTTATTGCCAGGATTTCTTATAATATTTTGACGAACTTAAACCAACGTAAGTACCCAAATAAGTTATTTTTTTGCACGGAATTATAAGGAATGTCATAAGAGGCATCTTGTCGTTTAGATCCTGCTTTTACAGGCGCTTAAATAAAGAGAAATAATTTTAGGTTAGCTTTATGTCGTCGGATTGCTCTCGGGAAATGCCGGTCAAAACGGTTGGGGTAATACCAGTCGTGACCGGTATTACCCCACAGGCCTTCCTATGACTAAGTCGGTTGTATATTTTTAATTTTAAATCAATGTGTTTTATTTGTTACAGATGCCTAGGACTTACATTAAAAAAGGAAACAAAGCTAAGTGTACCCCCGAACAACTTCAAAATGCCTTGCAATTTATCGAAGGACAGTCAATTCGATCGGCAAGCAAAAAATTACATATTCCGTTTAGCACACTGCAGGAAAGAAAATAAAAAAATAAGACAACCGCTCCACGTATGGGAAGACAAACTACGTTATCTTTGGAGGAAGATTAATCAGACTATTTTTTTACTTAACTTCAGTACATCTCTTACAACTAAAACTATTTTTATCAATGGAAAAAAAGGGCCGTGTTCTCGTATGTTTTGACGCATTTTTGGCCTCAGCCCATCGGATCCCCCCTCTAAATATATATGAATTTTGCTTAGAATTCCTAATCCTACAATTCTCTATTCGTGCTTGCTGACTGGGAAAATAAATACCGAAAATGGTCACTGTCTCCTGGACTATACAATAGATGATGATGAGAACTTCACAACAAATACACTTTTATGAATGGTTAGTTGGGGATGTGGACTTAACTGACCGCCATTCCCCCGTTCTCCCCTACACCTTGGTGTACAATAGTTAATTGTAAAAATACCTACAACGTTGATACTCTTTTTACTCTACATATTGTAGCGTTTTGATCTACACAAAGATTTGTACAGTATGTAAACTTCTACATTCTTAAATATAATGTTTTAAATAACTTTAATTACATCCTTTTACGAATGTGTTGCCTTTTGAAAAGTTCTCTATGATTTACTTTATCATTGAAATTATTGTCGATGAGACCTAGATTTTTGCATTTTCGATATCCATAATATATTAAATAATTAATGTACACTGGATATGTTAAATATCTAAAGAATATATCCAGTAATTACCTATGAACCTCTACTAAATATATCCATTAGATATTTAGCTGGATATCCATAAAATATTTTATTCTATATCCTGGATATATAGATATTTGGATATCTATATTAGATCCACTGGATATCTATGATATACTGTGGATATCTCTACAATTTGGTGTGTTGTCTGGGGAATCATCAGTATATAGAGTTGTAAACAACTCCGGTAAGACAAGGGGTATTTCATTGATATACATAATTAAAGGGCCCAATATTAATCCTTGTGGGATTCCATATTTATTTGTAATCTTATTAGATTTAAATATACGCCCATTATTTATTATTACTCTTATTTGCTATATAAATATGCGAAACAAAAATGAATTAAAAGTATTTTTATATTAGACTAGTTTCTATTATGAAAATTCTGTGGTGCTGTGGCACCCTCGCTCTCAACGTGTTGATATCAACAATCATGTATGCCCTTGATAAATAAAATAATCTGTAATTTAAAAGATAACCTCGTAGAAAATGTCGTTATCATATCTCCGCATGAGAACGCGTTACAATAAAATAAAAGCATAAGCCATGGCAGTCGACCACATGTGGGAGATTTGCCGGATTTGAAACCGTGACAGCATCGCGAGTACAATATCAAAATAATAATATCTACACATACATTCTCTTACTCTTACTAACGGATGTTCACCAGTTTATTTTATTTTATACTCTGCACCGTTACAAAACTATCCGTAAACAAGCGCATCAACACGATAACCGATCCTTTCTATTCCGTTGCAACATAAAAAGCATTCGTGCAAAAGTTCAATTATAAGTTTAATAAAATAATATTCGTGTAGTCCTGAGTGATTGATTCATTACGAAAGATGGTTGAGGCTTTTAAACAATGTTTCTGTAATCAGGTAAGTCAATTTTTCTTATCGTCTTAAAACTAATCTATGCTAAAAATGCCTGATATTCAACTGTTTCCTTATATAAAGATATACAGATTTTAGATTTAAAATAACTCAATTTTTTTGTAGTTCACATTAATAAACATTATTCACATCTTTTTTCCATTTCAAGTTACACAGAGATCATATTCATCTTTTGCACCCAACTTATTAGAAGAGTTTATTTTCACGAATGCTTAAAGAATTGTTTAAAAAATGCTTAAAGTATGATTCCAAATCACCTCGTAAAGTAGGAGATATTATTTTGGTTTAAAATTGACAGTTTTAATAATAAAAAGAAAATAAGTTATTTTGTAAATAAGTTTATTTTTAAATTTAACTTCTTTCTGCTTGTTTATTTTCAGTTTTTAGTTATAGAAATATTTTTTAGTTATTGTTTTGATTTGAAACAAGCTTTTATTCGCTCATCCAGTTAGGTATTTATTCAGACACTTTTATATAATAAATAGTCTAGTAAATGAAGGACGACTGAAAAGATCGAAAGCTGTAAAAAAATAGCTGATGAGTTCTTACGTATCTCAATTTGTAGGTCATCGCAGGTGTTTTTAAATGAGAAAATGTTTAACGCGTTCTTGGTACCGGAAGGGGCTGAAAATGGACCACTAAACTCTGAAAAACGGGTTTCCCGCTAATATCTGGCTAAATATGCCAATTAGAGAATTTTTGTTCAGACAAAAAATGAAGATCAGCTCATTTTCTACAAAAATGATCCCTACCAATTTTTTCGCAATGCCAATATTTTTTGCAAAATCAGACTTCGAAAAATCCATAATACATTGATCTTCATCTTTTGGACTTTGAGACCAATTGCAGATGGCGCCAACACCTTTGCTCTTCTCACTAAATTACGGAGTCCGTAAATGAAAATCTCGGAAATAATCAATTATTCGACAATTACTGGCGGATTTCACCTGATTTTTTTCTGAAAAGTAGCGCTTGGGCTCTCTCAATTGTATTAGCGAATGTTCTATGCAATTTGAGTTGCAAATTTACCAGAAAATTGAAAACATTTATTTTTCCTTGTTCCAAGGTCTTGAATCCCGTTGTTTTGGCTAAAAGCAAAAGACAACTTTTAGAGCGTGGTGAATATTCACCATACAACCATTCTAAACATTTTTCGCATTTTTATTTTGCGATTTTTTTGCAAACTTTTTTCGGAATAATATGGGTGCAGAATTTCGGAAAAATTACATTTATTTGGAAGAATTGGTTCGATATAAAACATACATAATAACCTTTAGGGTGTGGTCAACCACCCCAAGTCATCAGAATCATATACATATTCTTCATCGTCAACGGTATTCTCGTCGCCTACTCCCTCTTGCTCCATTTCTACCCTTCCCCTTGTCGTTCTTTCTCTTCCTCCAGCTGTATTTCTGCCTCCTCGCTTTGCAACCCTTCTGTCTCTTCTTCCACTTCTAATTCTTCCGGGAATATACCTTCATTTCTTTTATAATTTGAACATTGTGTCAACTGACACGAACCACAGATGGACGAGCATTTCAGACCTGTTTTCAAACATGAACAATTCTTCTCGCAGTCTTTCTTACACACTGACAAAAAATCATCTTCAAGAGTTCCGGTGGGGCCGGATCCTGTGTAAATATACCCTATAAAAGTGCTGCCTAGCAGCTTCAGCGGTAGGGGGCAATCATTCTAGTTTTATTGCAGTTTTGTTTGTGGACAAGTGGTTGAAAGTCCAGGACCGGGCGGCCTAGATTAATAACTGAAAAGAAGCTTACAAGAAACCTTGGTGTGAGCTCTTTGCGATGAATCTGGCGTAAATTTAAGTGTCATTTTTCACAGTTCCCCAAGTTCAGCTGTAAGGTTGGGAACAATACTTGATTATTTGCAGTCACCGTCTGAGAGTCTAAAAGTCTAACAGCAATCTGTACTGCAAAAATTGCAACAGCACATTGGGAACAGTCAAAAAAGCGGCTCCAATGGGAGCCGAATTCATTTCAAAGCTGCAACTGGCTTACACCTTCCATTTGGCGGCGAAAGAGCTCACTACAAGAGCTATTGTGAGGTTTTTTTCAGTAATTCGCCTTTGGTGTGCCGTTCTTGAGACGGTTAAAGTACCAAAAACTGAACAACAGTTTACTTATTTATTTTATTATCATTCGGTAATCCATATGAACCATTGTCACTTCACTTTCCTTTACTTTTTAAACACTACCAATAACCGAATAATATTTTTGTTACTTTCAGATCATGTAACTGGTTAATAATGATAAATGCCTCCAATTTTGGTCAACTCTGCCATGGTGTACATTTCTTCCCCAGTTTCCATAATATAAGCAATAATTCTCTCAATCTGTGCTGAAATATCTGAGTCCTTGGGCCGTCCCTTCGGTTTAGCCTTACCAGAAGCTTTTTCAGACAATTGATAGAATGCCAGTCGACAGACTTCATGATATCTTGCACCAACAACTGTGAGGTCGATCCCAGAAATTATTTCTAGCGTCACTTTATACTTTTCTCTATCAGTATGAGCTGTGATCTGATTCAGAAGTGTGGTCTTGAATTCTGTGTTCGAAACAAGTACGATGATTCACTTCTTTACCAAACTGCCTTTTCTTTTCCCCTTTTCTATCGAAGCAGGTAACTGACAGAATAAACAATTGTTTTTGAAGTCAAAGCCACTATGGGAGCGCTTCTTTTGTCTCTTCGGGCTCGTTAAATGGTCCAACCGTCTTGAGAGTGCTTGTCAAACTCGTTGTACGCGAACTCGCCTCGAGATTTAATAATATAGCGTTCCCTATACTTGTTGTGCATTCGTACAGAGGATTGTTTCTGGAGAAATAGGTGGAAATTATCGCATCTCTCCTTGCTCACTCGAATCAAATTTTCTAAACCACGAGTAACGTTTACACCGTCATCCACAACACCCTCCTTACAAAGAAAGCATTCTGGAACGGAATCCGCTTCCTTTTCAACAATACCAAGAGCTACCAAAAAATAGATGATCCAACCGTTAGAACAATTACACCAAGTTAAAGTTGAGGCAAAATAAAACAAACCTTATTTTCTGCTTCCAACAAAAAAATCCTTGAATATTCTTTCTAGTAGACAAGAATAACTTGGAAATTTCTTACTTTAAATACTTCTTCTTTTTTTTTATAACTGAATTAATTTAATGAAAAATATTTATTTTATTTTAAATAAATAATTCAAATAAATAATGAAAAAATATCATCAGTGCATCAATAATCCGGTCAAGCCGACGACTCCAAAACAGAGATTGTATACAAACACATGCAGACAACTATCGCCGCGTGGGTACACGAGGTTAGGTTATACATATACAATAGAGAGTTTTAGCAAACAGCCGCTAACCAGCCGCTAACCATCCGCTAACGTTACCTTAGGGATATACTGTAATCTACACCGTTCAATGTTTATGAAAAATGTCACAATCTAAGTTTAACGTAACGTTAGCGGAAATCTTACGTACATTTGCTAAACTCTCTATTATCATGGATCTCAGAGGGGGAGCGTAAAAATGAAGTATATAATTGTAACAACCTTTTTAGAACCAAGAACGGATATGGGGATTGACGTATATCAATGGGAAGGTCAGAATACAAGCTTTTCTTTGATCTAGTTATTAATCCTCAAAAAATAAAGAACGGGGAACATGGTTAAACAAAAAAAGGTCGGTTTTCACTCGTGTGATCAACTTTCCTCATTTCTTAAAAATTATTAGACTCTAATTAAAATAAAAAAAAATATTCGAAAAGTAGACCATCTAAGCTTTAAAATGATGTGCATTGGAAATCAATATAACGGATCGATCATGAGATTATAATTCGCGCTTGTTCCGAAGATTCCATGGAACTCCGAAATCGGCTAAAACATGTAAATAAACAAATCAATTTTGTATTAAAACGCAAGAAAAGTATTACAAAAAAAAATTCTGAGATCATTCAAGACCCCCCAAAGTCCCATTATAAAGGCAAAATTAGAATAAATTACTATTTTTAAAGAAAATATGATTAAATTAATGAAGTAGTCTCTAAATATTGTTGAAAAAAAACTTTGACCGTTTTTTTAAATATTTTTGACAAATACGAACTGACTTCAAGTCACATAAAATTGTAGCTACGGGTTTTCCCATTGCGATGAACTTTGAATCACAGAAAAATATCTTTTTTTTCCCGAGATATGGAACAATTCGTCCTCCCGCTTACACGTTAATTCATAGAAAGCGGAATTCCTGCAAGTAGAGCAGCAGCTGAAATGAGGGGACTTTTGAGTGTTATTATCTCGAAAACTATTGAATTTTCGAAGAAAATGATAAGGACCATTTTTGTAGATAATGAGCTGATCTTCATTTTTTGTCTGAACAAAAATTCTCTAATTAGCATATTCAGTCAGATACCCATTTTCCGGGTTTTAGGGGTCCATTTTCAGCCCCTTGCGGTACCAAGAACGCGTTAAGGATTTTGTCGTTTAAGAACACCTGCGATGACCTACAAATTGCGCTATGTGGGAACTCATCAGCGAATTTTCTACAGGTTTGACCCTACAGTTACTGGACTATAATACGAGTATACTTGTTTACATCTGTGTAGGTGTTCGAACTTTTTTATAGGTATTAATTATTGTTCTTACAATTTTCATTTATTACACTTATTCTACATTTATATAAAAAATTAATTCTAAATGTACCTATAGGTATTTTGAAGTTGTTTTGACAAACACTTATTTGATATGTTGTTTATGCCATAAATCATAAAGATCATGATAGGTACTAATACTAAGTAATACACATTTATTTATGTATTGGATTTATTATTCTTTTTTAAGATTTGATTTTATTGTCGCAAACTTAGTTATGTAGGTAATAATGAAAATTATAACGCACGACAGACCGATACTAGACTAGTTGGCCTTGTTAAACATTTGAGGTTATCCAGTTTTGATCTAATCGGCGTCTAGACCTTAATAACAAAAGCGAATTGATGAAAATTGATCTTCTTATAATCCGCATTTTTGGTAAAGCAGTCGATGAAAATACGTAAAAATGTTAATGTTTAGAATAATTTCTTATTGCCATTCTTATTCAAAAACGTCAAATGTTAAACTGTTCTCTAATAAATTCCTTTATTTCTAATTTGTCCACATCGTAGTTATATAAGTATTGTAACCAAAAAGAGACATCCGTCAGACTAATTGAGTCTATCACAAATTCAACCATTGTCCTGTTTATGGCCCTTGTCTTGACATGGAAACTATGAACAAGGTGCAACGGTTAAATAATGTATATATCTTAAAATCCAAAATACAACTATTCCAATTTGGAATTAGATTATAAAAAATTCAAAGTGCAAAATACAAAAAGTAATTTTTATTACAAATAAACTAAATTCGTGTGGCAATAAAAACAAGACCTTGTGAAATATTATAAATAAACTTATAGTAAAAAAAAAACTCAAAATAATATCTCTTTAAAAATTGATGATAAATTCATAAATGATCTGCTCATATTTTTTACAAAGTTCAAGGAATATTTTATAGATACTGTGACGATAGTCTAATGTATTTATAGTTTGTTTATTTATTTAAAACACACTATTTACAATTTATTTCAGACGTACTATTTAATTTATATAATACTTAGACACTAAATCACAATTTATTTATTATAATTTTACTTTTCTGTCCAACACTTTATACTAAACTGTCTATTTACAACTGACTGCCGTCTTCAAACTCGCGATATTTATATCAAGCCAACTCTGTAACCAGAATACTCTAGACGCTCCCGAAAATTCAATCTCTGATTCAACGGCACGCATTGCCCGTTACTTCGATCATGAATCGAGTGGCTTCCAAGGTCGCGCTTACACAGGGTTGGCTTCGCGTCACATTGCCCCCTCCTTAAGAAATAGTTCCTCCTGGAACTAAAACTGAATGATTGTATCTGCAACTGGATCTTCTTTTACAAATTGCAGTTGCATGGAAGTAACAAGGGACAGTCTTCGCTATAACCTGAATGCTGGGAGAATGGCTGCAGACCAGTATATCAACCTAGGTATCTTGGAAGATTACTTCCATCATATTTCTAATGATCCTCCAATTCAGCTGATTGCTCTTTATCTTTGGCATAACTAGTTTCTGTACATTGGACTCCAGTACATGCTCCCTCAGACTGAGTAATGCTTCCCATACATCCTGATAGGTGGATCGATCTCGGAAGGTGTTCTTTGTTACCAAATAGAAAAGATAACCGATCCATCTTGATGTTTTAATGCTTTTCCAGGGGCTGGTACCTGATCTTGAAGTTCTGGCAATCGACCAAACTTCTTCCGGAATACAGATGTCCAGACCTCGAGCGTCGTAGATGTTGGCGAAAGTGCTATGGATCAGCGAGTAGTCTTTTGGAACCATGAGCAGGTCTTGTTGTTGCTCGGTTGTAACATCATGTCTTGCTTTTCCGGTACCTCCATATGCACTCATAAATTCTTCAAAGACAAGGTCAGGTGTTTCTTGGAGCTAGTTTACTTCTTCTTCCTCTTCATGGTCACCCTCAAGTGGCGCCAGCCGGTTTTGGTGCACTACCTTTGGTTTACCGTTCGGGATCTTACTTATACGGTAAATGACATCTTTGATTTTTTTCTTATGAGATACGGACCTTTTTGAGACCTTTAAAGCTTTGGAGAATAACCTTTTGGTCTTTTTGGGTTATGGAGCCAGACTTTGTCGCCTTCCTTGAAACATCCTTCTGTGGCTTGGGTATCTTATCGCTTCTTTATTATTTCACTAGCGATTTGAAGATGCGAGCGGACCAATTCATGCATATCGTCCATTCTTCTTCGTAACTGGATCACATAATCTTCACCAGCTACATCTTCTCCAGGTCGGCATCCAAACTCGAGGTCGCACGGTAGTCTCATCTCACGCTGAAACAGGACATTTGCTGGTGTTTGGCTTGTTGATTCATTGACAGAGGATCTATAAGCCATTGCAAAGAGCGAAAGATACTGATCCCAATCTCGCTGATGGTTTGAAACCACTTTTGATAGATATTTTCCAATGGTCTTATTCATTCGCTTTACCATTCCATCGGATTGTGGGTGCAATGCTGTGGTTCTGGTTTTCTTCATGCCTAGTCTGCCTTGGTCACTGTGGATCTCCAAGGGCACTCCAAATCGACAGATAAACTCTTTTATCAACAGTCTGCAACAGTTGATTTGGAATGGCGTAGACTTCCACCCACTTCGTGAAATAATCCATAACCACCATCATGTATTTATTACCATTATCAGTCGTGGGGAATAGTCCAGCAATATCTAAGGCGATTCTCTTAAATGGACTACCAACATTGTATTGCTTCATGGGAGCCTTCCTTTTCCGCTGAGGTCCATTACTCAGCACATTATCAGAACTGTTCATACAATAAAACCTTTCCCGAACTCTCTGAAGGGTTTTTCTAACACCGAGATGTCCTCCTGATGAACTGTCGTGTAACTGACGAAGTACTTCGGCTACTCTACTCTTTGGAATGACCAACTGTTTTGTTCTTGGAACCATCATTATTTTCAAGTATTCGCTTTAATAAGCCGTCTTCCAGCTGAGCCCAATATTATTTAACTACTGGAGAGTGTTTCGATACGTTTGCCAAAACGGGATCGTTTTCTTGTTCTTCCCTAAGATTGACAGGGACCCACTCATCGCTGACAACCGACGTTTTTCGTACTTTAACTTCTTTAACAGATGTGTCCAACCCCTTTCCAATCTGAGTTCCTTGATCAACACCTTCATTGCGCTTCGAAGGTTCCGCCATGACTTCGTATTCTTGAAGAGTCTCATCTCGTTTCTGTTTGCAATTCTTTAACTGTGACTGGTATAAATGCTTCAAGTCTTCCACGGGTATAGTCTGAAGGATATCTAAAGCGTCTCCTCGAAGGGCGATTGTCAGATTCACTGCCTTTTCTCTCTTAGACCATTCGTTTGCTCTCGCAACTGTTTAAGGTAGTTGGTCCATGACATCTTTCCGTCGAAGGTTTGAGCTTTAACGCGAGCAGAGTTTACAGCTCCTTCCAATTTTAACTTCGACTCCACCTCATGACACTTTATTTCACCATCCTTGGTCGGGTCTGAAAGAAATCTCCAGATGCACCCGAAAATTCCATCTCTGATTCAACGGCACACTCTGCCCGTTCTACCCGTTTCTCGAGCCCCATCGGCATTCCCAGAATATTCCGTCGTCTCGAGCATGAGTCGGCTGCCACAGACGTGAAAGCCGCTTGCTTAGGAATTTCATGACAATAAAATAACTACATATCCCTCTTCTTCCTACAAATCAAAAATTCTTCATTACTTGTTGGCCTTTTACAACATAACCCGTTTAGTAACCTTTTGTGTAACATGTATACCATGTTTCAGAAACATTTTTAGTGAAATATTTAACTAAAATATTTCAGGAACTTGTGCTTGAAATGTTATATGTTTGAAACGTTTGAAATATTTCTGAAACATTTCTGAAATAATGTGTGCTGTATGGGGAGTTGAGGAAAATCTTACGAAATCTCACCAGGGGGGAGGGGGGTCAAAAAATCCTCAAAAATACCTCATGTAATTAATGGACGACTTCTCATAACTTATTTTTCTAATTTTGACATATAAAGTGATATTTTTTGTAATGAACTCTTTTTGAAAGAAGTTATTATAATATCTATTTCTTCAATCAAATATTAAATCGTATTAAAGTTAAAAACAAACTTGTTTTGGACTCCTTTTTTTTACTTTTTAGGTGACGCGTAACCTAAATATTTTGATTAGGTTATGATTAATAATTGTAATTAATAATAAATAATATTAAGGATTTAATGGAAGAGCAGCATCACAAATGAACTACCCTTTAAGATATCCTAATTTTTATGTAATATTATTATTATAAAATCGACCCAATATCTTTTAGTTTGCTTCAAAATATATTTTTTGCAACCCCAGGAGTTTCAATGTTTCTATGTGTGTCCTATAATAATACTCTCCATAATTCAATGATATCACTGATTATAAAAATTACATACGGGGATTTAAAAATGTTATTTGCAATTGATTTGAAATTTATAATACGTATGATTGTTTATTCTCTTAAGAACAATTATATTGTTACTGTAAAATAATGTTAAATCAATTCAAAGAATTTCTATAGAATCAGAATTGCAAAATTTGGTTAATTAATGTTTCTTGTTTCAGATTTGGATTCTACCAACTATAGCTTTGATAACGTGGTTTTTCTGGAAGGACAAACGATACAGATGCTTTTATATCATTTACAAAACATGGCGTCGTGATTTAATGTAAGTATATTATTTACCTATACCTATTTATTATTTTTAACTTTATAATGTTATCAATTATCAGATATTGATTATTATACACATAGCTGACTTATTTTGAGTTGATAAAATCACTTATTTTGATTCTTATGTTCGATATCAATTCAAATTTATTTAGAAATTCGTAGACTTGAATGCATTTATCTCTAAATATTGATGACCTTTTGATTTTATCTCTAGACGATAGTAAAACTTTCTACTGAGTTTTTATACTATTTTAAAAAAACAGAAAGTAAGCAAAGGTTGAAATTACGTAATTTCGATAAAAATATTAGATAGAAATGTAAATCCCTTTTACCTAAATCGTGTACCTATTAACTGACCTAAACTTTGTCTTCGTCGATGTTAAATGTTTCAATGTGTATTCCTGTTGAATGAAACCGGACTTTATCCTGTACTTATGTTATATAAAGTATCACGCGATGATGTAATAAACGCTATTAGGCCAAATTGGCCTTTATTAGTGAAGAATGGCTTCTTTTCATATTAAAGAAACTGATGTATATTACTGACTGACGTTGGGTATGGTGGATGAGGTCAAAAGTCATTTAACTATTATTTTTTATACTTATTAAAACAGGAATAGATGATAAAATCGTTAATTTATAATTAATGACACGACAATGCTTTTAAATCATGTTTAAAAAATAAATTAGGTACGTTGCTTTTTATAGATGATTCTTTTGTACTTGTATAAATGAATACACACGAAAAAATATACGTTTTTTTTTCTTACTTTTTTTTATTTATTTGTGAACAACAATTAATATTGCAGTCGATTTAAATCAGTAAATATACAGGGTGTTCTAAAAGTATTATTTTATAAATGAAGACCATCTTAGTAGTAAAATTAATGCGGGACTGGATTACTTTGGTGACATTTTTCGCACAAGTAAGAAATATAATTGCACGAGGCATAATCCGAGTCCGACAATCTCAATAGTGTAAAAAATCACTTTTACACGAGTGATGAACAGTATTTTTCCTACAACTACAAAATAATTTCATCAAAAAAATATAAAATCAAGAAATCTGTCCATATAGGTTTTATCAAGATGTGACTGGTTTTAGATTAGTTTTTATATGCCTTATTGAATAATAAGTGTTTTTTCGAAATTGAAAACATTTACAAATACTTTCTAGGATGAGAAAGATAAAATAACATTAGGTACAGAAAATATTAGAAGAAAAAATAGAAGTGGGCATAAATAAAATTATAGACTGGTTTAATTCCCCTATATAACACGCTGTTATATTATTTACTTCTAATTTTAGAACATCCTGTATAATCCTTCAATATTTTAAATTTAGTTTGTTAATATCTTTATATCTGCAATAAATTAACTCGGAATACCGCAAGGATCCATGTCAATACCCGTTTTAATTTTAACTTGTATTAATGATATTCTATTGGTATTAATATACATGTTTAAATAATTCATTTATTCATTTACAGGGGAATATGGATGGTGGCGAGAGCTATGTACAAAATTTTAAAATTCGAAAGAAATAAAGAGTCCGTTCCAAAAATATTCACGAAAATAGCAAAGAGCAGACCAAACAAAGTATCGTTCTATTTCGAAGAAGAAATTTGGACGTTTCAAAGAGTAATTATAGCTGATTTTCTTATATAATTAAGGACCTTGTTACAAAAAGATCTCAACACCGTTTTTGTCAACTTTTGGGAAACAAGAAAAAACGTTTTATAAAAATTTCCGCTTATTTTATCGAAAATAAAACTTTCTAATTAAACAGTTTCATGTTTACATGTAACTTACAATTTTTTTCTCACTGATATATCTTTGTTGAAAGAAAAAATCTGATGTGTCCAACACATGACTTTCCTATCTAGTTATTATAGGCTTTTTCAGGTTATTTTGTTCAACCTATTGCAACACCTCTATAAATGTTTAGAGGATAAACTAAATATATACATTTTTTACGTACATCTACCTCGAAACATTTTTCCATAGATATTTATTGAAAACGAAAATACTGAAAAATTTTAATATAGCACTTTTCCTACAATTTTTCCATTACGGTCCATTTTAGAAAAATCATGTTCAAACAAAAATTGTAGAGATCGATATCGCAAACAACTTTTAGTTCAACAATTTTCATAAAAAATCAGAATTTTGCACATTTTGTCAAATTTCTCGAATACGGACCATTTCAGGAAATTTTGACATAAAGCAAAAATTATAGATAATAATATTAGAAGTAACTTTTATTTGAACAATTTTCTTCTCCAAACATAAATAACAGATATATTCTATAAAATATAAAAACGGCCTCCCATAAAGTACCCCCCCAGATGTTCCGACTTTGTCCAAAATCTAATTATTTCACGTCAGGCCGAAATAAACCTTAAATTTAAAATTTAATGTTTTTTTCTTTATCCGTTTTTGAGTTTTCTTCAAAATTCGAAATTTATACATTTTCTCAAATATCTCGAATACGGTCCATTTTAGAAAAATTCTGTTATATATATAATAAAAATTATAGAGAATTATATTAAAAATAACTTTTTTTCGAACAAGTTTTATAAAAAAATATTTTTTTTACATTTTATCAAATTTCTCGAATACGGACCATTTTAGGAAAATTTCGTATAGAATTAAAATTATATACAATAATAGTAGAAGTAACTTTTATTTGAAGAATTTTCTTCTCCAAACGTAAATAACAGATATATTCCATAAAATATAAAAATAACCACCTATAAAGTACCCCCCAGATGTTCCGACTCTGCCCAAAATCTAATTAGTTCATTAGACGCTGGAATAAAGCTTAAGTTTAACATTTTTCTGTGTATTGGTTCATGAGTTATGCGACACACAGACACACACACAGACACACAGACACACAGACACACAGACACACAGACACACAGACACACAGACACACAGACACACAGACACACAGACACACAGACACACAGACACACAGACACACAGACACACAGACACACAGACACACAGACACACAGACACACAGACACACAGACACACAGACACACAGACACACAGACACACAGACACACAGACACACAGACACACAGACACACAGACACACAGACACACAGACACACAGACACACAGACACACAGACACACAGACACACAGACACACAGACACACAGACACACAGACACACAGACACACAGACACACAGACACACAGACACACATATACACAGATACACAGACACACAGACACACAGACACACAGACACACAGACACACAGACACACAGACACCCACGCGCACACGCACACGCACACGCACACGCACACGCACACGCACACGCACACCCACCCCCACACACACACACACACACACACACACACACACACACACACACACACACACACACACACACACACACACACACACACACACACACACACACACACACACACACACACACACACACACACACACACACACACACACACACACACACACACACACACACACACACACACACACACACACACACACACACACACACACACACACACACACACACACACACACACACACACACACACACACACACACACACACACACACACACACACACACACACACACACACACACACACACACACACACACACACACACACACACACACACACACACACACACACACACACACACACACACACACACACACACACACACACACACACACACACACACACACACACACACACACACACACACACACACACACACACACACACACACACACACACACACACACACACACACACACACACACACACACACACACACACACACACACACACACACACACACACACACACACACACACACACACACACACACACACACACACACACACACACACACACACACACACACACACACACACACACACACACACACACACACACACACACACACACACACACACACACACACACACACACACACACACACACACACACACACACACACACACACACACACACACACACACACACACACACACACACATATCATCGCGAAAATAGTCAAAACGGATTCAGGGGACCTCAAAACGTAAAAATCCGTTGAAAACTCTAGGTCCAAAAAAATCATGATTCCTATACTTTCCTTATATCTGTATACAGATAGGAAAGTAAAAATGATTACGAATACATTAATTATATTTAAAAATAAACAAAAACCATTATTTTTTATTATAAAGGAAAGGGCAGGTCCGGACTTGTATCTTGCTTGTTTCTTACACCAATCATTAAACTTAATTTTTTACAAAGATAACATAAAATAACCTAAATTTTACCAAAAATGGAGTTACTCCTTTCTTGCAGCAAAGTCCTAAATAAATATTCTTGTTATTTATTAATGAATTTTTAGCTCGAAGATTTCAGTAACAAAGTAGCCAATTATTTCATTGCATCTGGTTATCAAAAAGGCGACACTGTAGCACTTTTACTTGAAAACAGACCTGAATATGTTGGAATTTGGATGGGACTATCGAAACTAGGAGTGATTACCGCCTTGATCAATACAAATTTAATTTCAAAACCTTTGAATCACTGTATATCCGTAGCCAATGTCAAAGCGTTGATATTCGGGTCAGATTTTCAAAATGGTAAGATAATTTTAATGTATTTTTAATGGGTCTACTTTAAGATAATAATTTTCCAATAGATAACGAAAAATAAAAAACAATGTGATTTTTATAGGATATCATAAAACCAAACAATAGATTACAGTAAAACAATATTATGGGTTGAATAAAAGACTATTAAATTTTAAATCCAGTATAAGGGATAATATAGTTTTTTATCTCTAGATTATATGGAATAGACAGTAGACTTATGATTTTAGTGAAAGAAACAACATTTTAATTCTTTGATCCATCAAAATAGTTGTCATTATCTTAGATAACAGAAATAAAATCTAGAAATAAAATGTAAATATAATAAGAAAGAAAAAATATAATATATTATAAAAAAATGATTTACTCCAAAAAACTGTATGGCAAATAATAAATAATAATGAAACAAGACGTAATAATAAATATCAAGTAGTATTTGAAATAGATATAGAAATGTTTAATAACTATTTCATAAATCATTCATCTGATATATTAGAAGAAATCCTCGATAAAAATAAAATTAACTTAAATTGTTACAACCAAAAACCAGTGGCGCAATCAGAGTTTAAGTTGGGGGGGGGGGGGGGAGTGAAAATATTGACTTTATTTCTGATATAATTTAAAAACAAAACAAACAAAAAACATATAATACAACTTAAATTTAAAAAGAACAACTTTTACATGTATAATAAATATTAAACACATTTTAAAAACATTAATAACACGAAAGCATATAAATGAAAACATAACAAAAACAAACAAAAATATTTTCTTGGGCATAACATACTCGCATGACCAGAAAACATGAAATGAAAAAAATTATAACGTAAAATCCAGTCGTCTATTTTTATTATTTGCAAATCTATTTATAATATGGTCTACATTTACTTGAATGTCTCTGTGTATAAACAAAAGTGATAGCCCAACTAATCTATCCTGACCCATTGTTGAGCCAGGTTTTAAGGCGCCGCAGAGAGGAGAAGCTTCTTTTAGCTGAAGCTACACTAACGGATAGAGTGACCAAAACTTGTAGGTATTTTTTTAATAAAGGAAATATATTTTCATCGCAAGACGAATATTAACCGATACCATCTGTATCGCTTTTTTTACGCTTTTCCAAATACTGAATTCAGATTTAATTTTAAAAGTATTAAATCTCTGTTTTGGTTATTTTCAAATTTGCTTATATATTCCGCAACTACTTCAATCGACTGACTAATTTCAGTATCCGTTTTTGAATTGAAAATGGAAGAAAAAAATATATTGAACTCGTAGGTATTCAAAGATTCCTCGTTAAAACGAAATTAAAGATCTTGCAATATATTATCTAACAAAGGAATATAGATGCTAAGTCTAAAATAAGATTCTTATTTTCTGCAGATATATTGAGGCGATGCGTTTGTCTCTGAGTAACTCTTGGTTTGATAATTTCTAAATATAATTTTTTATGAATATCTGACACTAAAGTAAAAATGGTCCTAAAATAAGTTTCGGAATTTCGACGTCTTTCTTTTAAAATGGTGATAATATTTTGTGTAAGCGTAGTAACATAGTGTTTATCAATTGACTTCTTTTGCAATATTTTACTTAAATTTACAGTCAAAGCTAAAATATCAGACAGAGCATAAAGAAAATATAAAAACAGTGGCACCTATAGCATTTTTTAAACATTCTGCTTTTAAAGAGGCGTCCCGATCTTTCCAGTTGGAAATAATATCAAGGTATACAATGATTTGAATAGTACTTTGAAACTGAAGCACAGATTCGTGACGTTCAACCCATCTGGTCTCACAAAGATTTTTAAGCTGACTATGGCCATCTAACTTTTGCTTAAGAAGAAAAGTTCTTTTTGTATTTACCTCTTTTATAACGCCAACGGCATTTTTAACACCTTGAACGTTTGAGCTTTTTGAAATAGATAAATTTAATGAGTGGCTGGCACAAGGACTTTTAAGTGCATTAGTTAATTTTTTGTTCATCAAGCATTAAGTTGCAAGTATCACTAACTGTTGGTTCTAATGTGTCCTCATCAAACATTGCGTGATAATCAATAAAACCTACGAAATCTTCGTACAGACAATTTTCGTAACAGTATCTTAAGATTATTGACACTTGTGACTCATGACTTATGTCCGTGGTTTCGTCAAATATTACACTATAAAATTGACTTTTATTTACTCGTTGTAAAATGGTTTCTAAAATCACTACAGAATTCAATTATTTAATTTTGCGTATAACTACTAATATAGGTTGCACGAGATGAAGTGTTTTCTAAATGTTTTTTTAACACAACATCGCCACTCTCTAGTCTAAATTTAATTAATTCACAAAAGTTACCTTCATTATTTACAAGACTATCCTCATCTTCAGAAGAACTTTCGGAAACGACAAGAGATCCTCGATCTCTATGACCTCTAAAAGGAATATTTTGTCGTCCCAAAAAGATTACTGACTCGATAATGGGTTTCAATCTAAGTTTATTTTGCCTTTGTATTTCTTACATCTATCTCTGGATGTTCATAAATTTTAATTAAATTATGTCCATCTGTAACAGTTTTACTATAATAGACCGATTTATCATGCATTATCAAATCGCCATCTTTTCCGAATAGTTTGAAATACTTATTTAGTGGAGTGGTAACAAGACATCCCAAATTAGTTGACTGATGTACACCACCCACTTTTGAAAAAATAACGCAAAATTTACAGAATATACCCTCTAGACCTTGCGAATATGTTAGCCAAGAAAAAGTGTCAAAATGTCGTTTTGATAAAAAGCATATAATATCTTTATCATTTTTTTTGTGAATTGAAAACGGGTACGTAAAATTTTGATCCGGAACCATAGAGTACATTAAAACCGACTATTTTTCCCGCAATGTAATTATTTTAGATGTATTGACAAAAGAGGCAATGTCTATTGATTTTTTATAACCATGTAAAATATTAAATGTGGCAACGCTGTGGTCACTGCTGCTACCGGCGCTAGTTTCGGCGGTTTGTTTACCCATACTCGAACTTCGAACTCGAACCCGCTTCCTCAGAGGATTCTCCTACTGGTGATAAATTCACGACTTCCGAGGTTATTATTCCCCTATTTTGTTTTGGTTTTAACAAATAATTATCTAAGGTATTCTGTATTTGCAAGTGCAAGAACAAAAATAATTTGCAACAATGGTAAATTTTAGATATAATCATATAAACTTAAATCTAAATTACTAAACTTCATAAAAATACCTGTAAAGTAAAACCCTTACATGAACACACTGTATCGCTTTAGTATCACTATCACTTTGGTGATCCAGTATCCAGTACTTCCAGTAGAAATCAAAATAAAAACAAAATTATACAAGCAATATTAGTCGAAGAGTGAGATTCTGAGATACAAGCACGTACAACGTAGAGTGGGAACCTAAGTTAGGCTCTTTGAGTGGCGAACAGCCGACGAAAGTAAAAAAGCGCTTCTGCCAGATTGAACAAAAAATACTGCAATTGGTCTTTCAATAGTTTGTGCAATACATTTTTAGTATCTATAAAAAGTTAGGTTTAAACATTCTTGGGGGGGGGGGGGTAATTACCCCCATCACCCCCCCATATATGCGCCCCTGTCAAAAACATTTTCAATAACTTTTCTTTGCTTCTTATACTGAATTTAACAAATTGTTATAATACAAAACATTAAATCAAAAATAACTCAGTATATATGACATTAATTATAAAATATTAATTTCCAAATGATTTTAAGCATGAATATTATTTTTCAGTCATAAATGATATTTATCCTAACTTGAAAAACATTCAACTCATCCATTACAATACCTCAAAGACAGGAATCCAAGCAGACAAACTTACGAATCCTATCGATTTGAAACAATGTTTGACTGATCAATCGGTGGTTTCTCCGGAAAAATATATCGCTAATACGGAACCCAAGGATATATTATTTTACATATATACTTCTGGAACTACTGGACTACCGAAAGCGGCCAAAATTAGACATTCCAGGTAAGTTTTTTCCACCATCACGAAAAATACCATCATTATAATCTTCATAAACACAAGATCTATGTATAGTTTTTCTAGATACATATTAATGTTAATTTTTGTTTTTTCTTTATTATCTTTGTGTGTATCAATTTGGGAGAAGGAACATAAAAAGTTAGACAATAGCTTTTTCCCAACATCTCACAAAACTGTAATATTACGGTCATCGTCATGCGCAGTAAATAAAAACCTATCAATAAAGCCCAAAGTCGAACGGTTTTTATTTACTGCGCATGACGATGACCGTAATATTACGGTTTTGTGAGATGTTGGGACAAAGCTAATGTCCTGAGTTTTAAATAAAAATTCCGTATTGAAAATTGTCAAATGTTATTTATAGATTAACTTTTGTACCCATTTAAAATATTCCAGTAAACGAATGTTAATTAATGTCAAACAAATGAAATCAGCAAAGTATCAATTATTTTATAATCTTTATCTATGTATTGACCTACAGGTTTTAAGAATCGTTAGGTACGATTTAGTATAGATATTAGGTAGTACGGGGTAGACCAATAAAGAACAATAGAAAAAAAATTTATATTTAGTTTCTTGTTTCTTCTTGTTTCTTCTTGTTTCTTCTTGTTTCTTCTTGTTTCTTCTTGTTTCTTCTTGTTTCTTCTTGTTTCTTCTTGTTTCTTCTTGTTTCTTCTTGTTTCTTCTTGTTTCTTCTTGTTTCTTCTTGTTTCTTCTTGTTTCTTCTTGTTTCTTCTTGTTTCTTCTTGTTTCTTCTTGTTTCTTCTTGTTTCTTCTTGTTTCTTCTTGTTTCTTCTTGTTTCTTCTTGTTTCTTCTTGTTTCTTCTTGTTTCTTCTTGTTTCTTCTTGTTTCTTCTTGTTTCTTCTTGTTTCTTCTTGTTTCTTCTTGTTTCTTCTTGTTTCTTCTTGTTTCTTCTTGTTTCTTCTTGTTTCTTCTTGTTTCTTCTTGTTTCTTCTTGTTTCTTCTTGTTTCTTCTTGTTTCTTCTTGTTTCTTCTTGTTTCTTCTTGTTTCTTCTTGTTTCTTCTTGTTTCTTCTTGTTTCTTCTTGTTTCTTCTTGTTTCTTCTTGTTTCTTCTTGTTTCTTCTTGTTTCTTCTTGTTTCTTCTTGTTTCTTCTTGTTTCTTCTTGTTTCTTCTTGTTTCTTCTTGTTTCTTCTTGTTTCTTCTTGTTTCTTCTTGTTTCTTCTTGTTTCTTCTTGTTTCTTCTTGTTTCTTCTTGTTTCTTCTTGTTTCTTCTTGTTTCTTCTTGTTTCTTCTTGTTTCTTCTTGTTTCTTCTTGTTTCTTCTTGTTTCTTCTTGTTTCTTCTTGTTTCTTCTTGTTTCTTCTTGTTTCTTCTTGTTTCTTCTTGTTTCTTCTTGTTTCTTCTTGTTTCTTCTTGTTTCTTCTTGTTTCTTCTTGTTTCTTCTTGTTTCTTCTTGTTTCTTCTTGTTTCTTCTTGTTTCTTCTTGTTTCTTCTTGTTTCTTCTTGTTTCTTCTTGTTTCTTCTTGTTTCTTCTTGTTTCTTCTTGTTTCTTCTTGTTTCTTCTTGTTTCTTTTTGTTTCTTCTTGTTTTTTCTTTCCTTATTTTCTCAGTTTCTCGTTTTCTCGTTTACTCGCTGAAAAAAAAATTATATACAGGGTACTCTGACTCTAACCCTATTACGTATACGATTATACTAGATTTAAATGTTATTTGTATATCACCTCATTTATAATACGCTTAATCCCTAAAACTGCTTCAGATTCTACTTTGCCGTCACCGGAATCAACTCGTTTTTGGATCTAAAAGACAACGATATTTTCTACAATCCTCTGCCCCTTTACCACGCCACTGGTGGCATGCTGACGATCGGTCAATGCGTTAATTTCGGAGCGACCATAGCTTTGCGGAAAAAATTTTCAGCTTCTGGTTTCTGGACTGATTGCAACAAATACAACTGCACGGTAAGTCAACTTGGCGCGATCGTAATATTTAAAATACAATTTTGGAAATATGATAATATATAATCCCAACAATTGAATGCAGGGATCGAACCTGGAATATTCCAACCAGAGCTATTGGCGCCTCAACATGGCTGCGACAGTCAAATTTGGAAGGTTCATTCTAGTGATATCTGATCTATTAGAATCATTGAAGTATGCATCATATTGCTCTTTATTCTTTAAATTTAAACACAACTATCCTGACACTAAAATTTAATATTTTTGATGCAGATCGCCAATTACATAGGAGAAACATGCAGATACATCCTGACAGCTCACAAAGACAAAAGTAACATAGAGCACAAAATTAGAAAGATGATCGGGAACGGTTTGAAGAAGGATATCTGGAAAGAATTCGTAGATAAATTTAACATCCCCATGATGGAAGAATTTTATGGCTCTACTGAAGGAAACTCGAATTTAAGTCAGTAATGTTTTTAATTTATTACTAGTTTTAATATTTAATTAATTAATGTTATTTATACAGGGTAATTTTCTTTTGGTATCTAATTATTAAGGACAGAGTCAAAATTAAATTATTTTTATTTCTTAATACTTTAATAAGATTTACAACCTTAATCTATGAACATTATAAATTTTAAAATCAAATAACTACTTCTTTGATCCTTTAAGTCTTAAAATAAGTATTATAAAAATAAATTGTCTAGACATAGGTACTTAATATCTACTTACGGGAAGTGAAATCATTTTAATTTAATCCCAGTATTTTTTAAATTTGTATCTTATATTTCTTAGATTGTAAAACAATGAAAATGAGAGCAATTTGTTTTTCTATCTTATGGAGTTAAAATTTCTCTTAAAATCAATATAAGAGGTAAATATTTATTTCCACAGGTACTAGTTATAAAAAAATGTTTTTAAATAAAATTATAGGAATCCAGAAGAGCTACAATTTAAATTTGTTTTGATTTAGTTTTCTTTATTGAAATTAACCAATTACATTAAAGTTTGATTATAATTTACTTATTTTTTAGAACGCTATAGTTGTTGATGTTAAACGACGTATTTCTAAATAAATAATTAATTTTAAGAATCGTTTTTTACAAAGTTTTTTGTCACTCGATTCTTTTTTTACTCGATGTTTTTCCAATCGATGTTTTTCCACTCGATTACTTTTTCACTCGATTCTTTTTCTACTCGATTCTCTTCCCACTCGATTCTTTTCCCACTCGATTCTTTTCCCTCTCAATTCTTCTTCCAAACCATCATTTTTTTTATAATAAATCAAAATAGAAACGTCAGCTTATCTGGAAAGTATATTCTTAGGACATTTTCCAAAGTACCAATCAGTGCACTGTATATAATTTAGTTCCTATTTCACGAAAGTAAATATTAAATTTTTTTTTTAGTTAACCTAGACAACCGAATAGGTTCTGTGGGATTCATCCCGTTCTACTTGAGCTCCATAGTCCCGATGTCTCTAATAAAATGCAACGATGAGACCAATGAACCTCTTAGAGACGAAAACGGTTTCTGCATTAAATGTAAAATCGACGAATCTGGAATTTTGATCGGGAAAATCAATAAGAAAATCAGCACTCAAAATTTCGACGGTTACGTCGATACCAAAGAAACTAATAAGAAAATTTTGAATGACGTTTTTAAAACGGGTGATTCTTATTTTAATTCCGGAGATCTAATGGTTAAAGACGAGTTTGGGTATATTTATTTTAAAGATAGAACTGGAGATACGTACAGGTAAATTGTTTGTAAATTATTTTTGATTGATTTTGTAATAGTAATAGTTTTTTTTTTTAATATTTCTAGATTTTTTCTTAAAAGAAAATATAACTTTAAACGTTTCTTTTTTTTATAATTACCTTTTAAAATCTCTGATTATTACAATTCTTAGATTGATTAAAAAACATTTTAAAAACATCAGGAAAATGTTATACCTTGGCACTTTTAATTTTTGTTTATTATATGGAATGTTAAGTGTAGTTTTCTGACATCTAAGGTTTTTAAGAATTAAAATACCTCATTTAATATTTCAATTATAGGGTGAAAATTGAAAAAATAGCTACCTATGCTTTTTTAAATGTTATTTTTTACTTTAAATTTTTAATTATGTTTTAGATGGAAAGGTGAGAACGTAGCAACAACTGAAGTTGAACAGGTTGTTTCAGAAATAATAGGAGCCAAAAATATGGTTGTATATGGAGTTGAGGTAAAACTATTTTGTTGTTTTTTGAAAATTAAGTAATTTTAAAAGAATTTTTTAAAAATAAAGTAGTTTTATGCTATTAATAGCAATACTATAGAATATAGTCATTACCAACCCGACAATTTTTGCCATTTGTACATTTAGTAGAGGGTATTACATTTTTATTTAAAACAATAATAATTTCAATTTTTTTCGAATTATCTTCTAGAAGATAATTCCTACAACAAAATATGTCATTACCAATTTTGTTCAGAATTATATTCTTTACAAATTGCATTTAATTTTTTTTTCAGTACGAGACTCATTGTTAATGAGTTACAGTCTTACTTTATTTTGGGAATTTGGCCAGCCAAAGAGTCATATTATTAATTTCAATAATATTAACTGATCTAAAACTACAAAAAAGTTAAAAAAAACATTTTTCTAAAATATTTTCTAAACTATTAATCCTAGAACAAAAAATGTCATTATCAATTTTGTTTAGAATTATATTTAAAAATTTTCTATACGCCTCATTGTTAATGAGTTACAGCCTTACAAGTCTGTAAAAACGCCATTTTATGCAACAGTTAAGACAGCTAAAGAGCGTCATACATTTTTATTCTTTTGATTATTAATAATTACTAATCTACAGCCACAAAAAGCTTAAAAAATATATTTTTTGTAAATATCTTTTATACTATTAATCCTACAACAAAACATTCTATTATCAATTTTGTTTAAAATTCAATTTTCTACAAACTGTTTTTTAAACTTTATCTGTACGACTCATTGTAAACGAGTTGCAGCCTTGCAAGACTAAAAACGCCATTTTATACAACAGTTGGACAACTAAAGAGCGTCATACTTCTTTATTTGTTTCAAAATTAAAAATAACTGATCTACAGCTACAAAAAGGTTAAAAAACATATTTTTCCAAAATATCTTCCAAACTATTAATCCTACAAAAAATTTAAAAAACTTATTTTTCGAAAATATCTTCTAAACTATTAATCCTACAACAAAATATGTCATTACCAATTTTATTCAGAATTAAATTCTCTACAAATTCCATTTAAAACTTTTTCTATACGCTCCATTGTTAACGAGCTATAGCCTCAAATCTGTAAAAACAAATTTGTTTTCTAGGTTCCTAAAAGCGATGGAAGAGCTGGTATGATTGCAGTAGAAGACTTAGCAAACGCTATAGATAGAAAAAAATTAGCGGAAAGTTTAAAAAGTCATTTACCTGCATACGCCATACCGTTATTTTTGAGAATTATGGATTCGCTTCCGATGACAGGAACGTTCAAAGTTAAGAAGACGGAACTACAAAACGAAGGATTCGATATTGGGGTCATCAAGGATCCGATATACGTTTATGACAGCAAAAAAATCGATTACATTCCAATAAACGATCTATATGAGGGCATTATAGCTGGGAATGTGAAAATATAATGTTTTGTATACTTTTTTGTATAAAATTTAATATATTTGTTTTTGTTTTTTATTTTATTTGATTTCATGTAAAAAATACTGAATAATATTATTAAATAGGTTAAAATAGATTTAATTTTGTTCCAGTGCGTAAAAAAATGCAAAATATTACGTAACAAGTGTATGAGTTTATGTACCAGTGCAGCCGAGTACTGAGGAATATGAAGATTTTGCAAGAATTTAGATATATCTATGACACGTTGAAGAACTCTCTGAAAAACTGATCGGAATTTTGCATCTGTAATGGAAGACAGAAAAAAAAACAATTCCTATAATATTCTCAACAAAATAATATTATTTTTACATGTAACTCTAACTACATTTCACCAGTTCTTATAACTTTAATCAATCCTTCTACACTGTTGTTGTTGATGCAAGTTCGACAGAAATTAACCATATTCGAAGATTTTGGCCCAACTGCAATAAAAAATACAGAAAAATTGTTAAATTAGAATTTTTATCTTTGATAAGGACTAGAGAAAAATTACCTCTTAGTCTTGAAGCTTTCTGTATAACTGTATTAATGTTTTTCATAGTGTCTACTTTTTCGTTATAATTTTGCAATCTGATATTGTATCCATTTATTAGTTCTTCGTTTATAACCATTAATTCATCATAATGATATGGCAGCGAATCTCTAAACAATAAAAAATACATAACTGGTGATGAAACTGAGAAAGAAAAAATAGAAGAAAAAGAAGTAAAAAAAGAATTACAAATCGTTTATTCTGCTATCTTCCGCTTGTATGATCAAAGATCTTATCTGGGACATCCTGTCAGCAATGTCAGTTTCCAAGCGTAATCTGGTATCCTGTATTTCAGATAATTTGCTCATGTGTTCTTTAATTTTTTCTTCTTCTTGTGAGAATGAAGATTTTGACTAAAAATAATAGAAATTAGAACGATTTTTGAAAAATAATTACAGATATCACAATTAATAAAAAAATACAAAGAGGTTAAAAAGTAAAATAAGTAAAAAAAAGTGAAAAAAAAATAAAAAATAAATAAAAGTGAAAAAGTAAAAAAATAATTTGAAAAAGAAGAGACTCACCTCTAAGCTGTTTATATTCAAATAAGCAGCAATTGACTGTACCAAATCCGCAGCCAAAGATATATTCGACGTGTAAATACTAGTTTTTCCATTCATATCAAACACCATATTTAAATCCGTATTATCTCTGAGACATTTAAAACTCAAAGACAAATTCGTTCCTGTATCAAATTCCACGTCCTCAGTTAATAAAAAAAATTGATTAATCCACAAACAAATTCTCTGTAACCGTTCGTTGACTTTAAATTGTACATAGTTGTCGCCTGTCAGTTTTCTGCTGCCTTTCTCTTTTAAGCAGTACATCGAAAATTTCGGCAATTGTTTCGTTATTTCGTAAACGTGAAACTGAGAGCTGTTCGGGTATCCCACAAGGACCTGAAAATTTTGTTAAAAAAAAAAGATTTATTGGAAAAATATGATGGTAATGAATGAAAAATTATTGTAATGAAAACAATATTATAGAAATAAAAGAAATATTATGGTAATAAATGCAATATTACTGTAATAAATGCAAGATTTTGATAATAAATGAGAAATTATGGTAATAAATACAATATTCTGGTAATATATGCAATAAAATAGCAATAAATGTGAATGTATAAGATTATGATAACACATACTGGAATATTACGGTAATAAATGAAAGATTATAATAATAAATGCAAGATTATAGTAATAAAAGAAAAATGATGGTAAAAAATGCAATATTTTAGTAATACATGTAATATCAGGGTAATAAATACAATATCTTGGTAATAAATGCGAATATATAAGATTATGATAATAAATACTGGAAAACTACGGTAATAAATGCAAAATTATGGTAATAAATACAAGATTATAGTAATAAAAGCAATATTACCATAATAAATGCAATATCTTGGTAATTAATACAATATTACCATAATAATTATAAGATTACAATAATAAATTAAAAAATAAGGCAATAAATGGAAAAGTATGGCAATAAAAGCAATTTATGGAACTAAATGATATATTCCGGTAATCAATGTCATGGTAATAAATACGAATGTATAAGATTATGGTAATAAAAGTCATATTATAGAAATAAATGCAATAATCTGGTAATACATGCATTATCAGGGTAATAATTACAATATTATAGTAATAAATGCAAATGTATAAGAATATGGTAATAAATACTGGAATACTAAGATAATAAAAGCAAGATGATGATAATAAATGAAATATTATAGTAATAAATGTAAAATTATTGTAATAAAAACAATATTATGGTAAAAAATGCAATATTCTAGTAATACATGCAATATCAGGGTGACAAATATAATATCCTGGTAATAAATACGAGTGTATGAGATTATTATAATAAATAATGGTATATTACGGCAATAAATACAAGATAATGGTAATAAATAAAAGATTATAATAACAAATGCAAGATTATAGTAATAAAAGCAATAATATGGCAATAAATGCAATATTATGGTAATAAATGCATTATTCTGGTAATACATGCAATATCAAGGTATTAGTAAATAAAATAACGTGATAATAAATGTTAAGTGTAAGAATATGGTAATAAACACAAGATTATGGTAATAAATGTAATAAATTCAAGATTGTCGCAATAAAAGGAAAAAATGATTAGGACATTAAAGAAAAGAAAAAGAGTAGTAATAGTATAAAACCAGTGTTTGGTTACCGTCAAACGGGGTGACTAAGGACGGAATTGACAGTGTATTATAAATAATTCACGTTAGTATCAATCTATATGAAAATTACAGGTACTATCATCTTTCTACATATTTTCGCAAGACGTTCACACGATAGAAGAAAAAAAAATTGAATTATAAATTTTTTAAATTCAAAAAGTGTCCCGATTCACCTCGTCTGTGGGGTTACTCAGGACATGCATTTATTCTGCAGTGAAAACATTATCTCACCTACTCTGGTTAAGATGGGAAAAAATCACATTTTAAAAAATACATTTATCTATTTATGAAGTGGTTTGATGTTTTAGATGGGTTCTAAGGTTTGAAAGAACACACAGACTGGGTATAGAACTATTATATTGCCAAAGAGGACAATTAACAGACTTTAATTTTATAAACAACGGAAAAATATAACACGCTGAACCTTCACTGCTTCGCAGTTCAGACGAGACTGCCGGCTCCGGTTGCTTTCAGCACTCGCATATCGGGGACAACACTAATGATTTGTAGTACGCATGTCGTATGCGATTTATTTGTGCATCGGTTTCCTTTTGACAGAGTAGGTGAGCTGTCTCCAGGCCGTTGGTGTTTATGCCGGTCGACGTAGCCACGTATGGATTGAACCTACAAGAAGTCGTTGTTTCGTCTTCTTGTTGTCACGGCATTATTATTTGTTCATGTTTGTGAAATTTGCTTCTAAGGTTTATAAAATACTACTGCTAGTCATGGCGTAAATGAAAACAAACAAGACGAATTCACACAAACATCTCCCACCACAGCAATTACAAATCATTAGTGTTGTCCCCGATACACGAGTGCCTTCAGCGCACTACACGTAGCTCTCGCGCACATACCTTCGCGTCACTCTTACATAGGCGCGCGTTTGAGCCGGACCACTGCACTTATTATCATTGAAAATCTTAGAAAATTATGATTACACATCTCAAAAATAACTTTTATTGAGATCAAATACAGTAAAAACAATTTTTTCGATATAAACTTATCGTCTACGCAGTTTTTCAAATTTTTACCATTTTTTCATATTCACATAATATGGAAATTTGACACCCCCTCTCCGAAGTTGCACTGGTTGTGGAAGTTTCTTAAGAATTTGACAGATTTCCACGACAGATTCATCAGGGAATTGTGGAAAAATGAAGGTATTTTCCACTTTAGAGCTTTCTCTTAAAAAAGTAATGCACAGTTGTCCATCATTGTTTCCTAAGATTTTACCTACAAAATTCCTAGAAAACTTTCTCTCTGTAAATTTTGCAATGACAAAGTCATCTGTTTCCAAATCTTTCACGCCTGGTTTTTCTCCGTCGGCGTCGCTACAATTGGTGAATTTCTTGCTTTTCCCTCTGATTCGATGTCGTTTATATTTTCTTCGGAAATTTCGCTGTCATCAGATTCCGAATCATTTTCGTGCTCAAAATCAGATATTATTGATTGATACACTACACTTTTACCAGGTGCTACGGGAATTTTCTTTCCTTTTGCCTTCTTTGCAAGCGTTTGTGGGTTTCGCTGGTTTCTCAGAAAATCAGTCGGGGTTTCAGTCCAAGTCTTCTGAGATTCTTCTTCGTTGACAATTTCTGGAGGTAAACGCTTCAAAACTTGTTCTCTGTCAAGTAGAATAATGTCACAATCACGAAAACCAGCCTTAATGTTATTTTCCAATTTGTCTGCAATATTTAACAAAGCTTTCCTCAAAAATTCTGGAAATTTTGGTTTTGGGATAACTCTTCTATTTTTCTTCTTCCACTCGCCCAGAGTTTTTCTCCACGATTGCTTAACAGGCTTGAAAAATGCAGTGTCAAGCGGTTGTTTGGAGGAAGTAAAACGAATCTGATGTTATTTTTTTGATACTCCATGATGACATTTTGGGAGACATGGCTTGCCAGATTGTCACCAATAACAACCTTCGGCTCTTGAAGTCTTCTGAAGTAAGCTAATACTATTATTAAAAATCATTCTTCAAATTGGTTCAAATCGATTGTCTATCAACTGCAGCCCTTGCTCGTTTTATATTCTCCGAAAGTCTCAGTGTTAAATTATTTTTGTGGCGAATCAGAAAAGATTTCATCCAGTCCGGCCCTGGTAAGTTATTGGTAAATCTTCTGATGCTTACACCCCTTTTATCATAATACTGTTTCACCTAAATACGCACGTCCATTGGTTCTAATGGGAATCCTCAATCGGCAAGACACATCAAAGAACTAACAATTTTGTTTTTTCAACGTTCGTTATGGCTAATTGTCCACCAGGTTTTTTCACATTCCTATTTTTCACCTGCTGATTTATTAAATTTTTAGGTATTCTGTATTTAATCTCCAGATTTCTATAGCTGGTTCCTTTTTCCAGCCTTTCTTGAACAGCTTTCTGCAGATTTTTGCTTTCATAATTCTGATATGGTCTAGAACCAAGCCTCTTGATATATTTTCCCCGAAAAGAACCTGAGATTAGATTTCCAAGGACAAAAAAAATTAAATTTAGCAGCATAAAAAAAATCTTAAGATAACATTGAGAACGTGTCAACTGAGCGAACAAAACAAATTTCATAGCAAATACACTTACCTTCCAATAGTTCAACACCACAATTTATCGAGTCAACTGGCTTTCCCAAGTCACCCCACTTGACGGTACTAATTTTCATTTTTGATATATTTATTTCTGGAAACTGTCTTAATATTTAACCACACGCGGAATTATTACAATTAGTGCTTGATTGATTGCTTCTAAAATACTTACCTTAACGTGAATATCAACAGGACTATCTTTAGGTAAAAATAAAGGCACCAATAATATCGACTTCAATTTAGATATGGGTGGATGAATTACGTGCGTCTCTCCATTAAATATTCCTTCAGCAAATATCACAGTTGCTTTTATGATCGTCGAATTGTTGGTAGACAAAGACAGTTCAACGTGAGGCTGAAACATTATTACTTTTTAAAGTTTTTAAAGAATAAAACAGAGAATGGAGTTCTAGAAATATTTAGCGTTGGTAATAATAGAAAACAATGGACATTCTTTGATTCCTTACTTTTGGATCAGTATCATTTGTATTTATTGCTATTTCCAATCTAGTACTGGCTGGTATAACTCCACTGTTTTCATAACTCTCTGTTTCGTAGAAGATATTTTCGTTGTACTTGGTGTTTGTATCGTAATGTTTCAACTCCATCAGAAGAGCTTGCTTATGAGCTAACAACTCTCTTATTGTGTTTTGATCAGCTCCGTTTCCATCAGAACTGGTGAGAGTTTTGGTTGTTGTATAACCTCTAACTAAAATAGTAAATTTAAAAAACATTCTTTGAACTTTACCAGTAGGTAAGTACACAAGAGAGGCTCTTTATTGGTAATTCGTAATTTTATTTTGTAAATTATAATGCAGTTTTTAATTTTTTGGGTGTACCAAGAATGAAGAATCAACCATTCAAGGTAACTAAATACTTGTGTCTCTAAAAAGTTAGTCAAAATAAGTTAAAGACGAAAAGGGTCAAAATAGGTTGAAATAAGTCCAAACAAGTAGAAATAAGTCGAAATAAGTCGAAATAAGTCGAAATAAGTCGAAATAAGTCGAAATAAGTCGAAATAAGTCGAAATAAGTCAAAATAAGTCGAAATAAGTCGAAATAAGTCGAAATAAGTCGAAATAAGTCGAAATAAGTCGAAATAAGTCGAAATAAGTCGAAATAAGTCGAAATAAGTCGAAATAAGTCGAAATAAGTCGAAATAAGTCGAAATAAGTCGAAATAAGTCGAAATAAGTCGAAATAAGTCGAAATAAGTCGAAATAAGTCGAAATAAGTCGAAATAAGTCGAAATAAGTCGAAATAAGTCTAAATAAGTCTAAATAAGTCTAAATAAGTCGAAATAAGTCGAAATAAGTCGAAATAAGTCGAAATAAGTCGAAATAAGTCGAAATAAGTCGAAATAAGTCGAAATAAGTCGAAATAAGTCTAAATAAGTCCAAACAAGTAGAAATAAGTCGGAATAAGTCGAAATAAGTCAAAATAAGTCAAAATAAGTCAAAAGAAATAAAAATAACTAAGTAAAAATCTGAAGACTTTTCTATCTAGTTATTATAGGCTTTTTCCGGTTATTTTGTACAACCTATTGCAGTACCTCTATAAATGTTTAGAGGATAAACTAAATATATACATTTTCCACATACATCTAACTCGAAACATATTTCTATAGATATTCATTCAAAACGAAAATACTGAAAAATTTAAATTTAGATCTTTTGCTCCAATTTTTCCATTACGGTCCATTTTAGAAAAATCATGTGAAAAACAAAAATTTTAGAGATTGATATCGCAAACAACTTTTATTTTATCAATTTTCTTAAAAATCAGAATTTTCCACATTTTGTCAAATTTCTCGAATACGGACCATTTCAGGAAAATTTGGCATAAGACAAAAATTGTAGAAAATAATATTAGAAGAAACTTTTATTTCAACAATTTTCTTCTCCAAACATAAATAACATATGTTCCATAAAATATAAAAACGACCTCCTATAAAGTACCCCCCATATGTTCTGACTTTGTCCAAAATCTAATAATTTCACCCCAGGCCGAAATAAAACTTAAGTTTAAAATTTAATGTTTTTTCCTTTATCCCTTTTTGAGTTTTATTCGAAATTTATACATTTTCTCAACTATCTCGAACACGGACCATTATAGGAAAATTTTTGTAAATTAAAAATTATAGATAATAAGTAAGTAACTTTTATTAAAATAATTTTTTTCTCCAAACGTAAATAACAGATATATTCCATAAAATATAAAAATAACCACATTTAAAGTAACCCCCCCAGATGTTCCGAATTTGCCCAAAATCTAATCATTTCACTGGAGGCCGAAATAAAGCTTAAGTTTAAAATTTGGGGTTTTTCTTTGTATCTATTCATGAGTTATCGAGGATACAAACACACACATAGACATCATCGCGAAAATAGTTAAAATGGATTCAGGGGACCCCAAAACGTAAAACACTGTCGAAAATTCGAGGTCGAAAAAATTCATGACTCTTATAGTTTCCTTATCTGCATCAAATAGGAAAGTAAAAATAGGTCAAAATAAGTCAAAATAAGTCAAAATAAGTCAAAATAAGTCAAAATAAGTCAAAATAAGTCAAAATAAGTCAAAATAAGTCAAAATAAGTCAAAATAAGTCAAAATAAGTCGAAATATGTCAAAATGAAGGGAAAAACTAGCAGTAGTGCAAGAATACCTTAATTATATAAAGTTATGAAAAATTATTTATGTATAATTATGTAAAATTACGTAAAATTATGTAAATTTATGCAAAATTATGTAAAATTATATAAAATTAGGTAAAATTATTTAAAATTATCTAAAATTATGTCTAAATTGGTCAAATTATATCAAAATATGTCAATAATTTTAAAATATGTTAAAATATATCAAAATATGTCAAGAAATATTCAAATATGTCATAAATATAGGAACAGATGATGCTTTTAATGTACATCAATCCACATACTTTGATTTTCTCTTACTATACGGAGAATGGTCGCACTGCGTAGCTTTCTGAGTGCCTTTTAAAAGGAGATAGAAAACTCCGCCATTTTGAACCCTTATTACGTGTTGCCTACATCTTGGCGCAATATTTTTAATAGGTGCGTTTTAATCATTCGTTTCTGCTTCGGAATTGTCGGTTTTCTTGTGTTAATCTGACAGGTTAAAACGACTAAACCGACAATTCCGGAAGCAGAAGCGGATGATTAAAACGCACCTGATATTTTGCTTGCTGCTGTCAGTGTCAGTGAATATTATTTTTGAAGTCACAGTTTATTGCTAAAGAATCAGTTAGCTCACTCGGACCAGTTGAAAGTTCCAAAATAACATCCACTCCAGGGATACAAATTCAGGATACGCAGAAGACTGCTGTTTTATTATAGGCGGTTGTCATATATTGTATTATCCGAGTTGCACAGTGTATATTTATTTATTTAACAGAAAACAAACAGGTTTTATAACCTCATTACATGTTCTCCTAAGAAAAATGAAACTACAACTAAATACGTTTACCAATGCTCCCAATAAAGTTAATATAAAAGAAGAAAGACATAAAAAATATAAACGAGTATAAGTACAAAAACAAAAATAATTTACGAAACTTATAACTACTTGCATCTACCAATGCTCCATTAGAATTAAAAATAGTATATAAATAAGATTGTTAAAATAAAAAATATTCATTGAATTAATCAAAATCTGGAAAATCTTAAAATAATCAATATAAATTAGGTAAGCATGTTTCACAATGAATTTTTTTTTTTTTTTTTTTTTTTTATATATATAATATTTAAATCTCTATGCAAATTCTGATTTTAACAGGTGGGACTTGAAAGTTTTAAGTGATGTATTAAATATATCCAGATTTAAAGATGTATTGTGGTTATTATATATGCAGCAGATATTATCCAATAGCAGCATGTGTTTTGGTATAAAGAAAAGTTTGTTTTTAGGCCGAACGACATGACCTGGGATATAAATTTTAATTTATAAACTGAAACATTGAGATCAAAAGTGCCGACGGAGAGTGAGCTATCTGATTCTTTAGCTGTAAACTGTGTCACAGGGTTCAAAATGGCCGCGCCCACATACTTAAATATTCTTTTACTATACGGAGAATGGTCGCACTGTGCAGCTTTCTGAGTGCCTTTTAAAAGGAGATAGAAAACTCCGCCATTTTGAACCCTTATTACGTGTTGCCTACATCTTGGCGCAATATTTTTAATAGGTGCGTTTTAATCATCCGCTTCTGCTTCGGAATTGTCGGTTTTCTTGTTTTAATCTGACAGGTTAAAACGACTAAACCGACAATTCCGGAAGCAGAAGCGGATGACTAAAACGCACCTGATATTTTGCTTGCTGCTGTCAGTGTCAGTGAATATTATTTTTGAAGTCACAGTTTATTGCTAAAGAATCAGTTAGCTCACTCGGACCAGTTGAAAGTTCCAAAATAACATCCACTCCAGGGATACAAATTCAGGATACGCAGAAGACTGCTGTTTTATTATAGGCGGTTGTCATATATTGTATTATCCGAGTTGCACAGTGTATAAACTGAAACATTGAGATCAAAAGTGCCGACGCAGAGTGAGCGATCTGATTCTTTAGCTGTAAACTGTGTCACAGGGTTCAAAATGGCCGCGCCCTATGTTGGGCGTGTCGGACCTCTCTCTTGCCTCGTATAGTAATCAAGTATGAGGTCGGACCTCTCTCTTGCCTCGTATAGTAATCAAAGTATGTGACATCAATCACATTCAGTCAGTCTGTTAAAATATGTCAACAGAATGGTCAAAATATGACATCAGAAAATCCGTCAAAATACGTAATTTTTTGACATTTATTACATCAACTTTCGATAAACCTGACTACATTTCAAAAGTTAACTATTAAAATTAAATTATAATACATAAAAAAATTGCCTAGATGGCATCAGGGACGTATATACAGGGGGGAGGGGTAATGATGGTAAATACCACCCAATAATTTTTAAACCTTAACTTTTTATACGTACTAAAATGTATTATTAAAAATAAAGTCTCCAATATTACCACTACCTCCCCCAGACTTAAATTTTATTACCATTACCCCCCCCCAGACTTAAATTCTAGCTGCGCCACTGGATCGCACTGTTGTATAAGTAAATTTCCATTGTTTATTACCCACTACAATATCTTTATCACGTCACTAAATAGATAGAACTTGTTTGATTGAAAGTTTATTCAGTTTTAATTTCAATTTGTTCCTCACTGTTTTCTTTGTTCTGTATGCGACAAAATAATTTCGATTCGAACACATTGCAGCTGCTCAATATTTGAGCGAGTTTGTTCCGTTTGTAATCCAAATAAAAAACGTTATCCGTTACATCGATGACATCTTGCAAATGCTTGTGAAGCAGCATGCTCTTCAAAGCGACAAAATCGCAATGTTCCAAATTTTCAACTTCCGCTGTACCCCAGGCGTATTTTCTAGCTCTGACTTTTTTACCGTTAATTTCGATAACGGTATTCGCACCCATCACAGCAAATGGTACTTTGCTTTTGAACAGTTTGTTCTGTTTGTACTCTTCGATGTCGCCAAGAAGATTGGGGAATTCGTAGATTTTTATATCGTTTTCAGTGATGTCTTTCATAATTTGCGTTTTGAATTCTGTACGTTCTTCTGGAGTTAATGTATCTGCTTTGGCTATTACTGGAATTATATTTACTTTGTTAGAAAGTGTCTTCATGAATTGGATGTCTAGTGGTTTCAGAGAATGACCGGTGGGTTGGATGAAGTATAAACAGCAATGTACGCGTAGATCGCACACCGGTGTTGAATGACCTAGTTCTAGCTTTAAGTGGTTATCGTGTTGTTTCTCTAAAAACTCGATTATCGGAATCAAACAGTTAGTATTATCGATGGAGTCACCAAATCCTGGTGTATCTACTATGGTTAATAACAGATTGATACCATTTTCTCTCAATGATACACTTTTGGCTTCTATAGACACTGTTTTCGGGGCGATAGATGCCACATATTCACAAATATCAGTTAGAAACATCGAATTTATCAAAGTTGATTTTCCCAAACCTGATTTTCCCACAACCATGATTGTCAAAATGAAATCCTTTTTTTGTAGAGCTCTCCTTGACAGCTCAATCGGTAAATTGGTCAGTCCTAATGATGAGTCGGGTTTTCTTATCTTCGGCTGGTCTTCGTTTCCATTATTTTCTATGGTTTCAGGTAGATCGTTTCGTAAAAATAAGTAACTGCTATACATTTTGAGTTTTCGAATTGATATAAAATGATGAATGTGTAATTTCAACAAGTCAACTGAATGAGTGTGTGTCTTGTTATTTCGCTGTCCCAAATAGTGATGAATAATATTTTTGGTAGGTATGCATTTTATATAGGGTGATGCTTATAAATAGTAAGTCTATTAGAATCAGGTCATTGATGATAATACTACTTTATTTTTTGAATCAGAATATTTTCCTGACCGTAGTTGAATTTTAAATAATTAAAAGTTCTTTGGTTAAATCGTTTATAAACAAGTTTGTTATTTATTAAGCACTATATGTGTTTCGGAAAATACAATTTTTCAATCTTCTGGTGCAATCAATATTAATTTAAAAATCTGATGTGTCAATACAAATAAATAAAATAAAAATATGATAAAAGCATAAAACTAGATAATAGAATAAAATATGGGTAGGACTTATACATCAAATTGAGATTGAGATCCAATTTAAAACAGTGCCTCTGATTCCATATTTCTCCAATATATTTAATAGCAACTAATGGTTTACACAATCGATTGCTTTACTGAAATCACAAAAGATAGCAGCTGGGCATTCAGATTCCTCCAAACGGTGAATAATTTCATTGTAAAATGAAAGCATGGCAGTTGTTGATTTTTCAGCACAGAATCCATGCTGATTTCCTGTTATAATGTTGTACCTTTTCAAGAAAGACAGAAGACGGTCAAGAAAGGCATATTCAAAGATTTTAGACAGACCACAGGGAATAGCAACAGGTCTATAGTTTTCTATTTGTCTACGATAATTTTTCTTATGCAATGGTAAAACTTTCCCTAGTTTTAAAGCAGCCCATTTCAAATGGTAAGTTTACGAAATATGTTAAAGGTTCAGTGAGAACATCTAATACTTGTTTTAGTACAAAACATGGTACGTCATCGGCTCCAGACGATCTTTGTTTTTAATTTTCCTAAGTAATAAATTTAATAATTCTGTGTAAAAAAATGGAGTGAGGAAAAAAGAATCTTTATTTGATGTGATTCCTTCGATGTTACTAGTAGGCTTTGTTATTATTTTGAATTTCCTATCTAGTTATTACAGGCTTTTTCCAGTTATTTTGTATCACCCCTGTAAATGTAAATAGAGGATGAACTAAATACATACATTTTTTTTGTGTTCAGGTGACACGCCAGTTTGAAATAGTTTTAAGATCTTTTCGTATATGGGGTGAGTCTGTCACAGGATTAGAGTATAGTTTAGTGTCATCAGCGTAACAAGGAATCTTTGCCTAGGTCTACAGCGTATACCCTATGACATAGCCTCGAGGGACACCACTTAGTACTGGATATTCTGACGAAAACATTTGTCCAATTTTGATCTTGAAGATTCGATTTGTCAAACAATCACTTATCGAGGGAAGTAAAGAACCAATGCCAACTTTTTCCAACTTATAATCTTTTTGGGAACACGGTCAAACGCTTTAGCTAAATCAATATATACAACATCGACGGTCTCTTTAGTGTCCACAGCCGTAGTACAATCGTTTAAAACGGATAATTAAGTTTGTTAATGTGGATCGGCTTTGGATAAAACCGTGTTGTTCTTTTGACAAGACAGAATTGATTAATATAGATTCCATTATTTTACAGGCAATTGGGACGTTGCTTATTAGATGTTAGTTGGATTGCCCCATCTCTTTCCTTGCGGTGTCTTTAAATGGAATTTCATTTGGACTAACATTCCTTCCTGAATTTGGAGTCAAGAAAACAAATTTTTATTTATCGAGATGATCCTCGGATAAAGAGATTTTTTTTTTACTTTTAAAGACCGTTAAATTAAATTTATTATTTTTTTGTTTCATACAATGATTACCAAGGATTGCCCAGATTTATCTGTTTAAATTTTTGAGAGTCAATACGCTTTGAATATATTGGTTTCTGTAAAATAAATATATTTTATTATTCAAAACGTTCGTCTCATCCGTCCTACCTATCCGATTTATACATTAAAAAGTTGAAATCTTTTAGCTATGCAACATTTGGATGGTTTTTTTTGCGAAGAATGATTTGGCTTTTTATCATATGAAGAATTAAGTAAGAAGCTTAAAATTTAATTAACTAATTTTAAGCTTCTTCCTAATCTTTACTTCAAATTCGTATTTTTGGTGTATTTTTATTTATTTTCTACTTCTGTATAAATATTTTCAATTGGTGAATAAATTTAATTATTATTATTATTTTTTTATTTACAAAAATACATTCTAGCATTCGATTTAATTTTTTTCTTTTTTCCATGTCTACATTTAATCTTTTCTAAGATTTATGGTATGTAAATTAATAGAATTAATGAATAACTGACTATATTTCTCAATTAATTAAAAGACATTTAGTAAAATTAGTTTATCAATAATAATTTCTGGGAAACAAACTGATATAAAGCTATAAATATCGTGAAGCATCATCATGTATGTTTTTCATTGTACATATCGTTTGTCTGAATAATTGTTTTCTTCATTTCATAGTCACAAAATATTTTTGATACCAAATACGTAAAATTAGAAAATGGAATTACTCATTCTAATAAAATTTGGTTGTATTGAAATGAAAAAAATGTCAAATATCATACACTGTTTAAATATCATTTAAATAAACTTAAATATGTATTTTTTTTAGTTACAATCTTAAAAAAAGTGATATATTTTCTCTATTTACATGTGCCAAATAAAACACCTCAAATTCTAATTTGGATGAATTTTAACTTACTAAAAACCAAATATTTTAAACAAAAGTATCTCTGTAATCAATTGAGCCTTTGGCACAAATATTTTTAAATTTTTTAATGGTACCTTCGCCTTCTGAAGAAATGCAGATAAGATCGCTCTTTCCTATAGATCTGTAATCGCCTTCAACAATTCCAGAAACACCACAAGCCATTGCGTCTTTAAACAGAACTTCTCCGGTTTTGATTGATCTGCAATCTACTTTACCATTTGACCAACCAGTTAGCAATTGAGGTGAACCTTGTCCCAACAGATCGTAGTAGTGTATAGAAATTGCAAAATGTTTTGACTACAATAAAAATTAATAAATTTTAAATTTATATTTTCTACACATGGATATTAGTTTATCTACAGACTGCAAAACGAAAAAGTATGTCATTGCGTTCAACTAAACGAATATATTTCATACGCGTTCTAGGTAGTTAGAAAATTGCAAAAAAATGAACTCCACCAATCACAGTTCATATTTTAGACATCCACCTACTTAACCTGAACAATCAACAAAAATCATATCATATAAATTTTGTACGTTCCCGCAAGTAGGAACAGTTGATAGCCTAACCAGTAGGGATAGAAAAATACACTGTATGTCTTTCAAAATTGTTCTATTAAATAATAGTTTAAAAAAATGAATAAAAGAAAATAAAATGGTTAAGAAAAAACGATTGAGACCCAAACTACATCTAGGTTTTTTTCCTACCACAAGTTTTTTATTCTAATTTTACAGATAAGAACATTTTGCAGCAAAAATTTAAAGTTTACCGGTTTTCTACACGGTTTATTTCGTACTGACCTTTTCAAAGGTCTTTTCATCATACGAATCTACAATCGTGATTCGGTCTCAAAATACGCGAAAATATATTTAAACCTACTAGGCAACTCAAAAATTACATGTCACTGCATGAATTTGTTTAATAAATTACCCCTCAAAATGACAAATAAAAATTTGGAATGATTAGGATTCAACAAATTTATTAAAAGTAGTGAAGACAAGTTCTAAAATAGTACGCAAAGGTTTTAATGTTCGATGATCAATGATTCTTTCTCTTTAAATATATTAAAGTTTTTGGCGAATATTACCTTGGTTTTTCCTTTACTTTCCCGTAGATTCTATAAATGAACATATTTATGAACATGAACAAATTCAATTAGAAGTATCTCGACATAATCAAAGGATCGAAGTAATGAATTAAAAAGATCTTCTAGAATTTCTCCCCCCCTCAATATCTTAGATATGAAGAATAATTCAAAATAAACATGGAGAGAATGTTATATAATTTCTACCTTTATATAACCTCTTTTATTACTTTATCTGTCTTTAGATGTTAATTTAATTTTGTTACATTTCAACTTGGTCTAGAATTTGAAAGATTATCATTACAATACCTAGATATTTATTATATTTCTGTATTTTTTATACATATATAAAAATAAATCAAATTGATTTTTTTTATATATTACCTTTACTCTCCAAAGTCTAGTTTCCTGTTCATAAACTCCAATAGTTCCATTCGAAATGGAATAAGCAAACCTGTTGTCAGGCAAGGTGACTAAATTGGTAACAACTTCAGTTTCTATATGTTCAGATAGCATTCCAGTCTTGTCGAAAATTCTGATACTGAAATCTTCAGAGCTGACCACTAACTAGAATTGTTAAAAAAAAAGAGAAAAGAACAATGATGTAAACAAATAATTGAATACCTCGTTGAGTCCATCTTTGTTATAATCCATGAAAATAACAGACGTAGCAATATCTCCAACTGCAGTCCAAAATATTTCATTGCCTTGGTTATCATAACCATGTACCGATGAGTTACCACCAATCATTATGACGGTTTTGATATCTTTAAAAGTGCCAACAGCAATCGATTTAACGCCATCAGTACATTCCCTGTAAAACACGTCTTTGTTATCGTGAACGTGATAAGCCAATACGTGTGAACTCGTTCCTTAAAACAAATTAATTATATTTTTTTATATTACATCCCATACAACTCACCAAATCCCAGAGATATCCGCAGAATATCTTTTGTGGATATCCAATATATTCACAGGATATCAGAAATATTCCGTGGATCTAATATGGATATCCAAATGTCCATCTATATCCAGGATATAGAAGATATCCTAATGGATATTCAGCAAAATATCTAATGGGTATCTTCCAGAAAATACAAAAAATCACAGAGGTATCCACAGAATATATTTTGTGGATATTCAATATATCTAATATGGATATCCAACCAAATGTCCGTCTATATCCCAGGATATAGAAGATATTCGGATATTCAGCAAAATATTTTATGGGTATCTTTAGTAGAGGTTCATAAGTAACCAATGAATATTGAATAACGTCGAAAGAAAATAGCAGAGATAAAAAATATTTTCAACACTCAAAATATTTTCAACACTCTGCCTTTGATTTTGTCCACTAAGGAGAAAGTCATTCTTATTAGGACTCTTCAGCAATAAATGAAAATTCTCGACTCCAATCTCTAATGGAGTGATTAGGACACACATTTCGATCGAACTCAATTACGGCGGGTCGAGCATGAGTAGATGCGATAGTGGTATCGCCATCTATACTTAGTAAGCAGAATCAAATAACATCTAGTGGATATCCACGATGGTTTGCGTTCGCGCCTAGACTTTGATATATTTAGTGGATGTTCATGGGATATTGAATACACCTTAAAAAAATTAATTTTAAATATCTGAACGGTACTATTAGCCACAATGGCGTAATTTTTTAATAATTTGCTATATAATTACTATTATTTATGGACATTTGCATGTCTATAAATTACATTTCATGGATATAAAATAGATATCTACCATGGACTGGACATTCAGTGGATATTGGGATGTTCAGTAGATATCCAAAGGATTTGGTGTGCTCTCTGGGATATTACCTATTATCTACTACATATTACCTATTAATTATCTATTACATACTACTTATTAATTATCTATTACATATAACCTATTAATTAACTATTTATTACCTATTAATTATCTGTTTATTTTCTATTTCATCTATTTAATATCTATTAATTACCTATTTATTACCTTTTTATCACTTATTTATTACCTATTTTTTCCTATTTATTATCTATTTTTACCTATTTCATAACTATTTATTGCCTATTTATTATCTATTTATTACATATTTATTTCCTATTTATTGTACAGGGTGTTTCAAAAAGGTATGTCATAAATTATACCACGTATTCTTGGGTCAAAAATAGAACGATTAAACCGTACTTACATATATACAAAAGTGCACCTAAAAATAGTTACAGGGTGTATAAGATAAAAAATTTAAATGAATTTTTTTAACACTGCTCTTAAACCTTTTGACATTTTTTCATGAAATTTTATATGACGTGTTGGAATACCATGACTAACAAAATCTAAGTAGAGGCAAAATATTTTTTTTTTATTTTTGTAGGATTTTGGAGGGTGTCACCGCCCCTTTCTCTATTCAACTTTTTTGTAGTATAAAATTTAATTACAAATGAAACGCCACTGGAATCCAACATCCATTTGGAAACTTTTTTGTCTCTTAGTATTTAATTGTAAAAAGTTTAGTTTAGACGATACAGCCATTTGAAATGACAACTTAAAAATATTCAATGGAAATTCTACGTAAGAAAAATATCAAAATCAAGTTTATTTTTAAATTACAAACTAATTTCATCAAAATAAAAACATTTAATTTAACAGGTGTTCAAAATTACATTCTCCTCCTGTATACACTTTCAACATAGTTTTAACAATGAAAATCGAATTTTGATATTTTTGCATACGTATAATTTACATTAAATATGTCATTTTAAGTGGCTGTATCGTCTAAACCAAACATTTTACAAACAAATACTAAGAGACAAAAAAGTTTCCAAATAGATGTTGCATTTCAGTAGCGTTCGATTTTTAATAAAATTTTATATTATAAAAAAGTTGAATAGAGAAAGGGACGGTGACACCCTCCAAAATCCTACAAAAATAAAAAAAAATATTTTGCCTCTACTTCGATTTTGTTAGTCATGGTATTCCAACACGTCATATAAAATTTCATGAAAATAGGTCAAACGGTTTAAGAGCAATGTTAACAAATTTCATTTTAATTTTTATCTTATACACCCTGTAACTATTTTTGGGTGCTCTTTTGTATATAGGTAAGTACGGTTTAATCGTTCTATTTTTGACCCAAGAATACGTGGTATAATTTATGACATACCTTTTTGAAACACCCTGTATATTTATTATCATCTATTTAATATCTATTAATTACCTATTTACTACCTATTTATTACCTTTTTATCACTTATTTATTACCTATTTTTTCCTGTTTATTTCTTATTTATTATCTATTTTTACCTATTTATTGCCTATTTATTATCTATTCATTACATATTTATTCCCTATTTATTACCAATTTATTACCTATTTTCTACCTATTTATTACCTATTTTTTACCTATTTATTACCATTTTATTATCTATTTATTACCTATTTATTACCTATTTATTACCTATTTATTACTTATTTATTACCTATTTATTACTTATTTATTACCTATTTATTACCTATTTATTACCTATTTATTGCCTATTTATTACCTATTTATTACCTATTTATTACCTATTTATTACCTATTTATTACCTATTTATTACCTATTTATTACCTATTTATTACCCATTTATTAACTATTTATTACCTATTTATTACCTATTTATTACCTATTTATTACCTATTTATTACCTATTTATTACCTATTTATTACCTATTTATTACCTATTTATTACCTATTTATTAACTATTTATTACCTATTTATTACCTATTTATTACCTATTTATTACCTATTTATTACCTATTTATTACCTATTTATTACCTATTTATTATCTCTTTATTACCTATTTATTAATTACCTATTTACTACCAATTTATTACCTATTACTTATTACCTAATTACCTATTAGCAATATGTCTTTGTCTTCATCTGGTAGTAGCATACCTACTGTCAAGCAGGTAATGGACTGGTTTATGTTTAAAGTCGCAATTTCTTTGTTAGATTCTGACCAAAGAACTCTGCCTGCTATTGCACTATTTTTTCGATGGGGGCTATGAATTAAAACCTATAAAATAACAAATGGGTTAAAAAATGTCTACCGGCTATAAATTATAAATAAAAACAATTTTACTCCGGACTCATCTATATTCTACCAAAATTCTGATAGACCTTGTACACTATTTTAAGATCTAAAGGTTTCAAGATTTCTAGATTCCAATAAAACAATTTAAATTACCTACATTTTTCAAGTATCACATAGTTCGCTATTTAGTGAATAAAAATTACCTTGTCAGTTGAAGTGGCTGCTGTAATACACGAATGAGTCCCATCGTATTTTCCTATTGTTACTAGACCTGGTATAATTTTGTAATTTAACTCGAGCGTAAAAACAGGTCTTACGATTTGCTCCATTTTAATTATTTGTTAAACCGTATGGTTGAAATGAAATTTATTGTGTGAACAAATTGTGTTATCCTGTGTTGTTGGTAAATACAAACAATGATGATAGTGTCGTTAGGAAAATATCGATCTAATCCAGAGCAGGTTTAACGACATTCTTCGCCTCGAATGATGCATAATCGCTTGTTGCGATAATTTTAAAATATACATCAAACAATGATCAACAAAAATAATATAACATATTACACCATTTAATAGAGATACTCTTAATCAAAATGCGTATTTTTTGAGGCACCTCGTATAAACGCTTAAAAAATTTAATATCTGATGTTTTAAATCATGCAGAAGAATAAGTTTTTTATAAAACTAACAATAAACAAATTTCTCATATGGTGCAGACTTAATTGGACATTGGACACACTGTATAATCGATTTTCTTTTGCTGTTACACATCTCTGTTTTGTATTATAATATGAATCTTCATATAAAGAAAATATACCTACCATCAAGAGTTGAAATTAACAAAAGCTTATATTTGTTGTTTGTACATTTAAATAACTAATATCGTACAAAAAGCTATACTTTATTTATAAAATTAATTAATTAGAACACAATAGTTAAGTGTAATTCGATTTATTCGTGTGATGTTATTTAAAAGTGGTTGCTGGCGCTGGCTAATACTTTTCTGTGTATGTGCGGCCATGAAGCAATGACGAAAGTTTCAATTTCACATTCGTTTATTCCTCTAGCTATTCTGAAGTATCCTTCTTCTCCCCAATTGGTGCCCCAGCTGTTGGCTACTTTCTGGAATTTAAAAAAAATTGTATAATAAACAAAAAATTTTGCTCAGTATAGGCAACACAAAAAGCAGTTGTAATACTGGTTGCCTAACTATTATTACTAATAAATTTACATCTAATGTTGCGAATAATTATTAAATGTTAATGAAAATGTATCTATTGTTATTGCAAATAAAACAACTAACTAATGATTTTACTTCAATTCTAGATTGTTACAGTTCTTCAGATCGAAAATCGAAATCAATGATCTAAGGATGATCTAGCGAGCCAACGAGCAGTGGCTACATTGCCAACCTCCGTAACTTAACATGTAACAGTCAAAATTGTTTATAAATAAAGATGAAATGATTGTAATATTCTATAGTGCGAGAACAGAACCCTATTTACATAAATAAATTATACAACAAAATTAATAATGGGTACAAAAACGACTATTAAAGATAAAACTATCTAAATAACTTACCCAATACTTTTGTATTCCTTTGTAAGTGTATTCTTCTCCCCAACCAATTATCCTGACTGAATGGTATCCCTGTTTGTCATTTATAGCAAAGTTTGAATGTCTATAAATGCCACTGTTGTAATTATAGAAATCATGGTACACTTTCATGGTAGCTAGAAACAAATATTTAAATGAAAGTAAATATATCGTAAAGAAAGAAGAACATAGCAAACAAGAAATTGAAATTGAAAACGGTAGACATAAATCAGAGGGATTGGAAAAGAAGGGAAACCAAAAAGAAAGTGTATAATTGCGATATAAGGAATTAAAGAAAAATATTCTGTGTAAGGAAATAAACAGTAAGTAGGTAGGTAATATGAAATGGAATGAAAAAAGAAATAACTAAAGGGGAAGAAAGAAAAGCAGAAAGATGAAGAGTGAGAAAGAAATAAAAGAGTAAAAAATTAAAAATAAAAGAAAGGGATAGTAAGAAGAAAGAATAAAAACGGAAAAATAAAGAATAATGAAAAATAAAAACAAAGTACAAAAGAAGAAATGACAATAACAGACAATCAATCAAAAAAGACAAACTCGTAGAAAGAAAAACAAAAGATCAAGAATTAGAAATAAGGAAGGAGAAAAGAAAAATTAAAAGAACATGAGACAAAAAAGTAGAGATGAAAAGAAAAAAGAAAGAATAATGAAAAACAAAAATAAAGTATAAAAGAAAGAATTAAATTAATAGACATTCAATCAAAAAAATTCATAAATTTGTAGTTTACCTTGTACTGGACCAGATCTAGTTATTTCGTACATTATATCAGTTTCGTTGCCAAGTCTATAAGCTGGCCCAACAGTGTACCTAGCCACTCTATCACTGAATTTCGGTGTGCATCCAGCTTGCTGTAACGTTCCTCGTCTTTTAATTGGACATCTCTCGTTCCTGGCTACGTATGGGAAGCATTCTTCGTCAACCAATCTATTAAAATAACAATTTTTAATCACTATCATGGATTACCATTTGGAAAAATTGCTTACCCGTAAGCTTTGGTAAACGACCAAGCTCTATCTAAATGTCCACCACTGCAACTTTGCTGTCCTTGGGTGTCGCATGATATCAAATGTTGGGCACTGAGTTGGACAGCTTCTTTTCCTCTGGATACTATACCGTATCTATAAAATAAATAATTTGTAGTGGAGTTGTGAATGGTGATTATTTTTTCACCTTCATCTTGTACTTTTTTTATGCTCTAAATATGGCTGTGAGAGTAGCACAATTATTCAGTTCATGTTGATGTATAATCAAAAATAAGGATGGATGAACAGTTTCATATTTAAAAATCGTAATTATTTACAACACAATCGATGGTATTACCTATCTGAGGCAACGGCTGCCGTAGAAATAGCCCAAGATGAACCACACCATCCTTGGTCCTGAATACCTGTTATGAATCCAGGCCAAGCATCACGTGAGTCGAATTCTCTGGGTAAAACTGCGGGGTCATAGTTCCTTTTAATTGGGTTCATGTTCATCACAAATCTTTGAGGTGGTAATGTTCCTAATCTGTAAAAATAAAACAGTTCTATTGAATGCACAATTTGACAAAATTGAAGGAAAAATAGTCAAATAAATATATAGTGATTGGTATAAAAATTAAAAAAGAATAACTTGTGTTGGTATTAGACTGATATTTTCATAGTATAACAGCTATTTTCTACCAATTTCTACCAATTTGTTAAGTGGATTTATTATTGTTCTCTGGACAAATGGCTTACCTAAGTTGAACTCCATCATCCAATGTTCTTCCCCAAAATTGCGAATAATTTGTAGCGCTCCAACCATATTGTTCTTGTTCTCTGTTAACGCTTTCAATTATACTTTGTTCTACGAGACAAACGTTTGTTTCGCATAATAATTCGAGTTGTTTGTTAGGCATTTGTTCGCATACACTAAAATTCAATAAAAATATTCGTTATGATCATTAAATTTAAAAAAATAATATATAAAATCAATTTAGAAGGATGCACAATGAGTATAGTGAGGCCTAAGGGTCGTGGGACAATCCATCCTTCACACTTTACAAGTTGAGTTTTTTCTTTCAATCTAGAAGATATATTGAGGATATAAATTTATAATTATGTGTTGTAGATACTGAGAATCGTATAGATAAGTACTTGCAACAATTATCACAAACTAAAAAGTTTTAAACTTGAAATTTTATTGTCAATAATTATTTAAAGTTCAAAAATTCTAAAATATAACGTTTTTGATACTGGAGATAGATAAAATATTATAGTAATAATGTTTATTTAGATATTTCCAAAATTGACGACAACATTTCTTTTGAATAATACTGTTACGCAGCACCCTGCAGTAGCCATAGGAAACGTACAGATAGAAAAAGAAGTGGAATGTTACTCATCGCTCTACAGCCCAGACAACACACCAAGTCCCAGAGATATCCACAGAATATATTTTGTGGATATCCAATATATCCACAGGATATCAGAAATATTCCGTGGAACTAATATGGATATCCAAATGTCCGTCTATATCCAGAATATAGAAGATATCCTATGGATATTCAGCAAAATATCTAATGAGTATCTCCAGACAATACAAGAAATCCCAGATATATCCATAGAATATATTTTGTGGATATCCAACCAAATGTCCGTCTATATCCCAGGATATAGAAATTCAGATAAATATTTTATAATTATTTTTAGTAGAGGTTCATAAGTAACCAATGGTAATTGAATAACGTCGAAAGAAAATAGAGGTAAAAAATATTCCCAACAATCTGCCTTTGATTTTGCCTACTAAGGAGAAAATCATCCTTATTAGGAATCTTCAGCAATAAATGGAACTTCTCGACTTCAGTCTCTAATGAAGTCTGTTTGTGAAACAATGTCGATCAAACTCAATTACGGCGGGTTAAGCATGAGTAGATACGAAAGTGGTATCGCCATCTATACTTAGGAAGCAAAATCAAAAATTACATCTAGTAGATATCCACGATGGTTTGCGTCCGCGCTTAGACTTTGATATATTTATATTTATAGTGGATGTCCATGGGATATTGAATACACCTTAAAAAAAATTAATTTTAAATATCTCAGCGGTACTATTAGCCACAATGGCGAGTACAATGGCGTAATTTTTTAATAATTTGCTATATAATTACAATTATTTATGGACATTTGCATGTCTATAAATTACATTTCATGGATATAAAATAGATATCCACCATGGACTGGACATTCAGTGGATATTGGGATGTTCAGTAGATATCCAAAGGATTTGGTGTGCTGTCTGGGAGTGTGCTGCGGTCGTCATAAGTATAAGTATTAGTAAAAGAAGATAGAATATTCCAGAAATGTCATTACCCGTCAAGAATATTCTAGATGACAGTTCGAGAAGGTTCGAGAAGGTCAAGCAAGCTATATAAGTCGACGACCTGACGTCAGAGTTTCAGTTTTATGATAGACGTTACACGTTAATGTTATCAGTGGCATTGTTATTGTTAAAGTTCAGTTGAAATAAATTGTGATACCAAAAACCTGCGTAACAATACTATAACAAATATAAAAACACAAAGACTTTTAACAGACTTTGTATTTACTTCCTTGTTACCTTACTTTAAGCTATCATGGATAATATTTAAGATTTATATTATAAAACTATTTCGATTATCAATATTCTTGTTTTATTACTATTGATAACTAATGTTCATACATTTTTTCGGAAAAAAAAACGGTAAACCTGGCTACAAAATGATCCCTATTTGAACGAAAAATGATAATCAAACATCCTCAATAGAAAATCCAGATGTATATGTATTACTTAGGTTAGGTGAGAGCGGTAGACATAAGTAATTACAAATTACAACGCATAATATGAAAAATTAACTTGACACAAATATTATTTATTAATATTACGGTTCTTAGTCACAGTAGTCACTGCCAAACAAAATATAAAGTAAAATATAAATTGGAACTGGCGCGAGGGAGTTTTTCTTCTGATTGGTCCAAATTAAAACGGCGAGTTTTCATTGGTCGAAATCCTAAAACATTTACCCCTAAAACGTTCAGATTCGGACGAAATGACATCACCTTATCAGTTAGCGGCTTCTAAATGCGCGAACAGGTGTTCTTTTAAAAACTGTGCAATTTTGGTATAGTTTAAGTTTAAAAATAGTTTTACGTCTTCGTTAATTTAAACAACCAAGTCTTGGTACCTAGTTTTAGTGTGTTATTAATAATATTGTGTTCTTAATTTAGCCGTATTTAAGTAATTTGTGATAGTGTTTCACTACACGACCCTATCTCAATTATGTGGAGTATCGGTAGTTATTAATAAAATTGTGTTCTGTATGTGGTAGTTATTTAAATAATTGTGATAGTGCTGCATCTATTTGGATAATGTGGAGTATAACAAGAAAATCTTGGTTGGGGGCTATTTTCTATTTTGCAGCTTTTAAATGGCCGAACATTCTCTATGCTATGTAAGTAATTAATTCAATTATTAGAGATAAGAGGTAACAGTTTCTGAAGAATTGAACACAAAATCAAATAATGATAATCGTTTGTTACATATTATATCAAATTTTATTCGAAAATGATTTTATTTCCAAATTTAAATTAGCTTCGAACGCCATCTGTGATAAATTCCGAAAGTATGAAAACAGTGGCGTTGGCTTATATGTCAAATTAATTTAATTATACTTTATCCATATAAAATAAGAATTGTATATAAATTATGGAGTACTATTTTATAATACTTAAAAAAAAATAGTATCCGTGGTAGGTATTTGTTAAAAAGTAAACTGAAAATAAAAACGAATGTTTAAAAATCGCAATTGCTTGACATTATCGGCCTAGACTCTCATGATATGAGTTTACAGATGGTAGTAGCAATACCGTAGAATGCTTTAATTGTTTGTAAAAGCAAATTCATTCTTATTTTACCCTCGATTTTACCCAAAATTTGAAGACATTTCAACTAATGGGGTTTTCACCTTACACTTTCTTAACTATTGTAGGGGTATCAGCGTAGAAAAACTATAGTATTCAACTCGCTTACAACTTGTACTGTAAATATCATACTCGTATAAAATTAGCAGGGAATGAGTATGACTTACACCAATCGTAGGAAATGCGGAAACAGAATCTCTATTAAATTATTTTAATTTTTTTGATTTACCATTTATTGCAATTTTCTCTGACTTCCTGCTTCCAACGAAGAGCTCGATTGCCATAAGTACAACCGTATTGAGGTTCTGGTGGTGCTTCCGTTGGTGGAGGAGGAGTGATACCTCTACAATGAGACCAGTAGTCTGGACAGCAATCATCTACTCTAGTTTGATTACAAAATTCATCACAGTAGCATAGAGTTCCTAAAAACAAAATTATCTGACTTAAAAATAGACAGAGAGATCGTTTGGTATTCTTGTTTCAAAGATTATCATTTTATTAAAAAATAGAGAATGTAGTTTGAATTTTTCGGTATTTTAATTAAAATACCTCCAAACTGAATGTATTACACAAATAGAAGTATTCATATTACCTCTTTTGATTCATTTCACTTACCTAAAATCGGCACAGAACAAGAATCTATTCTATCATTACAGCATCCGATGTTTTCACAATAAGGCCCTCTCAGATCTGAGAAGTCATCATTTCTAGCAGAATTTGCTGCGACAAATAAACTGAAGCTGACTAAAACGCAGCTGAATATATGATGATGAAGCATCATCTGAAACAAAACAAAAAAAAATTATAACCTAGGTATTTTTGGAGCCTTCAGGTACCTACTCTTATAGAATTCTTTTATAGTATTATTGTTATATTTCATATTATTTATTGTTTTAGTAGACTATAGTTTAACGTATTTCGTTTATGGCTAATTATTTTTTATTTAGTAAGTAAACTATAATATTAGTGTCTCCGTGGGATTCTCCCGAAATTCATGCGGGGAAAGAAAGAAACTCCGCGCCCGGTGTTTTTTTGGGTCGCTGAATTCAAATATGGCATCGGCGAACACCTTCCGGATACCTGGTATGCCGGAACCTGGACGTGGACGTCATCCCCGAGAATTTTACTGACAAGATCACCAAAAACAACCCGAAAATTATTGTGGGAGCGTTTTTTGGGGCCCTGAATCTAAATTCCACGTCGAAAACGACCCCATGAACACCTGGTGCACCGGAACCTGGACATGGACCTCATCTCCGTAGATTTTCCTCACACAATTGAAAAAGACGAACATAAAATCGTTATGTGAGTTTTTTTGGGGCGCTGAATCCGAATATCCCGTCGAAAATAACCCCCAACACTTGGTGCATCGGAACATGGTCCTGAACGTCATCGTCGTAGGACTCTCCCAAAATTCACGCGGGAAAGGATAGAAACTCGACACTCGGAGGTTTTTTGGTCCGCTGTATTCAAATGTGGCATCGTCGAACACCCCCCGGACATCTGGTATGCCGGAACCTGGACGTGGACGTCATCCCCGAGAATTTTACTGACAAGATCACCAAAAACAACCCGAACATTATTGTGGGAGCGTTTTTTGGGGCGCTGAATCTAAATTCCACATCGAAAACGACCCCCTGAACACCTGGTGTACCAGACCCTGGACAAGGACCTCATCTCCGTAGGTTTTCCTCACACAATCGAAAAAGACGAAGAGAAAAATCGTTATGTGGGTTTTTTTGGGGCGCTGAATCCGAATTTCCCGTCGAAAACAACCCCCAACACTTGGTGCACCGGAACCTGGTCCTGAACGTCATCTTCGTAGGACTCTCCCAAAATTCACGCGGGAAAGGATAGAAACTCGACACTCGGAGGTTTTTTGGGTCGCTGTATTCAAATGTGGCATCGTCGAACACCCCCCGGACACCTGGTATGCCGGAACCTGGACGTGGACGTCATCCCCGAGAATTTTACTGACAAGATCACCAAAAACAACCCGAACATTATTGTGGGAGCGTTTTTTGGGGCTCTGAATCTAAATTCCACGTCGAAAACGACCCCCTGAACACCTGGTGCACCGGAACCTGGACATGGACCTCATCTCTGTAGGTTTCCCTCACACAATCGAAAAAGACGAAGAGAAAAATCGTTATGTGGATTTTTTTGGGGCGCTGAATCCGAATTTCCCGTCGAAAACAACCCCCAACACTTGGTGCACCGGAACCTGGTCCTGAACGTCATCTTCGTAGGACTCTCCCAAAATTCACGCGGGAAAGGATAGAAACTCGACACTCGGAGGTTTTTTGGGTCGCTGTATTCAAATGTGGCATCGTCGAACACCTTCCGGACACCTGGTGCTCCCAAACCTGGACGTGGACGTCATTCCTGAGAATTTTTCTGACAAAATCGCCAAAAACAACCCGAAAATCATTGTAGGAGCATTTTTGGGGTGCTTAATCCAAATTTCACGTCGAAAACGATCTTCAGAACACCTAGTGCACCGGAACCTAGGCCTGAACGTCGTCTCCGAGGGTTTTCCTCACATAATCGAAGAAGACGCACCCAAAATCGTTATGGGAGGTTTTTTGGGGCGCTGAATCCGAATTTCACGTCGAAAACTACCCTCCTAACACCTGGTGCACCAGAACCATTATCTTGACATCGATGTCATTCCCATGAATGTCAACCAAACCTGATGTTTTAGAGACGGACGTCACTACTGCAATAGCTGTGTGGAATTGTTGATTTTAGTTAAATTATGTTAGGAGGAAAGAAATAGAATGAATAGAAAGTCAATATTTATATAATAGGCGTTTAAACATTTTTTTTTTTTGAATTTAACTAACTTTACCTTACCTCATTAATTAATAATTTTAATTTTTAGATACTTAACTAAATATCAAATTCTTCATCAAGTGACACATCGCTAGTCTGTTCATTACAATCTTCTGCGCATCCACAGAATATTAGTTCCATAATATTCTTGGGCGAAGGTTTTTGTGTAGTTTCTACAGGGACCAGTGTGTTGCCTTCCTTTCTCCACTCCCATTCTGTTGGGTCCATGGTCAGCTGGTCTCCGTGCAGCCAATCTTGCGATCTTGTCAGCAAAATTCTCGGGGATGACGTCCACGTCCAGGTTTGGGCGCACCAGGTGTGGGGGGGGGGTGTTCGCCGATGCCACATTTGAAATTAAACCCCCCATAACTATTTTCAGTTCGTCTTTTTCGATTGTGTTAGAAAAACTCACGGAGATAAGGTCCGCGTCCAAGTTCCGGTGCACCAGGTGTTCAGGGAGTCGTTTTCGACGTGAAATTTAGATTCAGCACCCCCACAATGATTTTCGGGTTGTTTTTGCCGATCTTGTCAGGAAATTTTTCGGGGATGACGTCCACGTCTAGGTTTCGGTACACCAGGTGTCCGAGGGGTATTCGTCGATGCCATATTTGAATTCAGCGACCCAAAAAACCCCCGGGCGACGAGTTTCTCTCCTTCCCCGCGTGAATTTCGGGAGAGTCCCACGGAGATGACGTTGATCGGCTTCCTGAGCTCCAGGTCAACTGTGGGTCAATTTGAACATCCTAATCGTGATCAGCGATCTCGAAAACCCCCGTCAATGCGATTTGGGCCTGTTTTGACTCATATTTACAAAGTTCTTTAATCTTCCAAAATCCGTCTCAAAAAATTTTTGGAAGCGATTGCAAAAAACCGCATTCCGATCCGTCTTAGTCTAAAAAATTCCGAACTTTTTGGTTCATTGCCTCGACTATTAAATAACACTTTTTTAATTTTTTATAAATATCTTTTGCAAGAAAAGTACCTGAAAAACAGAGAAAATGATAATTTGCAATGTACCTACATGTATTATCTCTGAAAAGTTTGACCTCGTAACAGCCAATCAAAAGTATCAAATTTTGACTTAATTTTCTTAATTTTCTCTTCTTTCATACAAATTTTTAATTTTTTCAATATATTTTTCCGTTTTTTTGCTACGATTAGTTTTAAGTGACAAGATAATATTACTTTAACAAAAAATTTAAAATTTGACTTCAGTATTAATGTTATTATTTATAAACAAATTAAGTATTACATCAGAATAAATGTCATCCTTGTATTTATTAAGTAGCGCTTCATCTTGAATTTTTATTATTTAATTTATTTCGTTTTACATTAAACATCGATCGTCGGTTATTTTATATTCAATCATCATGTCGATGTGAAAACACTAAAACCATATAAACGTATAAATGTTTAATAATTAGATAACATATTATTATGCCACGGCTAATTTGATTCAAGTTAATCTTCTTTTTGTCTGTCTAAATATTTTTCCTTCATAAATAATAATAAAAAAACTTTCAGCCTTGTTTAAATAATATAAAAAAGAAATGAAACAGAGGTATTATTTTAAAAATGAAAATTTTGTCTTTTGCTAGCACTGATCTTCAAAACTAGCCTACTTATTTACTGTTTTTTTTTTGCAGTAAATAAGAACTATTTGTTTTTTGGCGTAGATTATTTAAATGTTGTCCTTTAGATAAGTTTATACACTAAGGGTAAGATTACAAAAGCTCTACAAAACGCTCTGACATCTGCAACCATCAGTTGCAGTTAAAAATGAGAAACATGGTATTACAGAAACAAGACAAAAAGTTTTCTGTTGCTATTGATTAAATATAGTTCAAGGTGTTAGGGATTTAGGTTATTTAATGTTGTTAGGGGGTAATAAACCAGTTTTTCCACAATAAGTATTTGCAAATGCTTTTTGGAATACAATAAATTGATACTTTGTATCTTGCATCTGTAATTCCGCCAGATCTGCAAAAAATGTTCTGTAATCTCACCCTAGTCTCGAACTTTCATCAGAATCAGCTCCTATTGTAGGTATTTAAAAAAAATGCCGATGACGTCATTACATAAATATGGATCACCTTGTATAATGCAGAAATCGACGTTTCAGGTTTTTTTAAATAGTTTTTGTATGTATTAAAATAATCGCTCTAGAAAACGATTTACCTCCCACTCTTTTGTCACAAGCTGAATTTTTCAGAGATGAAAGGTCATGATAAGGTAACCTTTATTACGGAGGTAATACAAAATTAGACTGTGCAGAAGGGCACTATCATTAATAATCCAGATATTGATACCACCGAATAGAGAAAAAAAATACTCATTTTTTGGTCCAATGCACAATAAAATCTTTGTAGAGAGTAATTGTTTATACTTATTTGCATAAACGTAAATATCTCGGTTCCAGCCCTTCAAAAATTTGGTTCGGAAATCGTCATTTTTAGATATACCACTTAACAAAAAAGGAAGGGCTAAATAAAAAAAAAATCTTTATAAAATTTCTGCTTATGTGTTGATAAGGTAACAAAAGAAACACCATATTTTTAACTTTTGAATTAACAAAGATATAACAATAAACGATGAGAGATGTTTTAAATTTGGATGAAAACCTTTGCCTGCTTTTTATTCTCTGACGTGTACAACCAGCCAATTGTCTGGCATTGGGAAAAGAACCTGTTGGAAAACCTACCTTGAACACCATCACTTTTTGATTGGATTTGGCACTGATCAGTACTCTGAAAACATATTCTCTAATATTGAAAATTTTTTCATAAAAATTTATTCAAAAACTGCTAATTTTACTTTCGTCCCGTTTCGTCAAAAAAAATTATAAAGTTTATTAATTTTTTTTAAAAAGGGGCAACTTTTAATAGAGAATTAACATTATCGAACATGCATTATTCTTCAAATGATTAGGTACTACTAAGTTGTAGT